AAGCCTTGCTCACTGCTGCTCATCTCACTCACGTGATGCTGGTTGTCATGGTACGTCTACACTAAGTGTTACTCTTAGTATTTTTGGATCGGATTACTTGTAGTGAGCATGTAAACGGAGATTTTTCATCAGATTGTTGAGTAGAGTGAGCATAAACACCTCAGTCTTAATCTGTAATCTGAATGTATTCAATTGAATTGGCAAACATCTTTGCATGTAAACACAGCCAATGAGAGAATTTCACACACAAAACTTTAAGCTTTAAGGTCAGCATTGGTGAACAAGATCAGACATCCGTGATTAACCTGTATTGATCTGTATAGAGAGCGCAACTAGGCCTAATCAGAGAATGTGTGCTGTCATGAATGAACGCATTGGGTGGCGTTGCGGGGAATTAAAGCTGCACAGTTTCTTTTTTGTTACACGTTATTGTCATGTTTGGTATTTGCAGTACTGATATGCAGATGAACTTTCTAACCCATTACAATGTTTTTTCTCATGTGTTATGAACATTCTGACCAATCAGAGCTCCAGGTTAGTTTCTGTGGGCGTTTTGATGAATCAAAGTATTCATGTATTTCAACAAAGGTATTTTTTGTTAAAATAACACAGGTGAGTTTTTTAACCATGTCACATTATTGGTTCACCAGTTTTTTTTAATATATTCCAATGTACATGTGTAGCATTTGAAGTGGGTAGTAATGGCAGTGCTATTATTTGGTACATATTGCGTAAGTGACATTTAACGGACTCAGTAGATCATGTGTATAAACAGTATTCGCTTGTTGAGCTACTAGGACTTGAACTAAACTTCAGATGCTCATGTTTGACTTCACAGAACACCTAGATATGAATACCTCTGTAGGCGGTCACGTTTTTAGTCTGTTAGCCTTTTTATGGAGTATGTGTGTGTTCTTTGTGCTGGAGTGGAATGAGGGTGTAGGATTTAATCGTGCCTCCAGTGTCTGGTGAAGGGGGCCGAACGTAATTACTGCATGCAGCTAAAACGGGGAGCTCCATGTTTTCCTTTGTGACAGATGGAACGAAGCCAAACTGTAATAGTGTATTATACTGAAGAAAATTATAGAGCTGCACAGCAGACAGACATGGACCCACACACACATACACGTGCGCACACGGTTCCTCTTCGCCTCCGTCCTGCACTGAATGACTGTATTGTGTGATTTTGTACCATTGCCACCAACACCAAACTCCGCACACGCCATTCTCAGCCACTTTGTCCCCAGAGCAATAGATCCTCTGTACAGAGTTTACTTTCTTTTCCATTACAGAACAGAACTGCCATCCAGCTATATGAAAGCCTGCTGTCTGCTTTAGAGCTGCACGATATTGACACATTACTAGTATTCCAGTTCTGTTTGACATTATCGATAATATAGACAATTAAAAGTTATCAAAGTGACGTCCAAATGAACCTGAAGTGGGCAGCATTTCACTTATAGTGTCGTAGCTCTGTGAGCAGATTATGGCTGAAAGTTATGGAGTCTGAGAGTATTTTCTTAAAATAAAGAATAACGAAGTTGCATACATATTGTTGCTGTCCGAAGAAAAACGTCTCTCGTCTTCATTCTATTCCATTCTTATTTTTCTACGTCGTTTGAGCTCTGCAGCTGCCGTTTACATTGTGTAAACATTTCACAATGAATGGACCAATAGAAATGCTCCAAAAGAGCTTAGAATAAAATCTCATTACATTACCTTACATTAAAAGTGAGGAACGTTTTTGCCTGTTCCTGTGAAGTTGCGGTTTTGCAGATGTTTGTTTTTTGGATAGTTGACGTTCACGTCGGGCCTAGCGCAATGTTACTTTCGACCACTGGAAAAGAAAACATGCTGGTGTTGACTCTGAAACAGCAAAGCAAAAAATAAACTGTAGCTTAACCTCCATGCCGGTGTTCAAACAAACCAAACTACTTACAGTGCAAACTGAGGACATGTCAGAATGCAAATCACCAGTAATTTGTAATGATCCCTTTACAAATGTCACTAAAGTTGATAACTATTGAACATTCTGCAGCTCGTCCTGTCACAGCCTCACATACGTTAGGCAGCTAACTACATACAGCTGGATAATTAGGTTACAACTTGTTTCGTAAAAAGTAGTTAGTTTTCATATGGAAACCAGTCGTCCTGGAAACCTGTTTACGCAAAGCTTATCTAGTTAACTAGCGCATCAAAAAAAAACATTTAAAAGCCATTTTAAAGCGATATTTGAATATGAGGGCCACAATAGCCGAATCTGGTTTAGTAACATACAGTGTGCTGCAGCTGGGCTTCAGCCTGGACAGCTACAGATGGTTTGGTTGGTCAAACTAGGTAAATGAATCATTTATTGTGTTAACATGTCAGGTTTGACAGCCATATTAAAAATGAATTGATGTGGTGTGGTTTAAGATTGGTCAGCATTCTTTTGACCATTGTTTGCATTATTTTATTTTATTATTAATATCTTCCTGAACTTATTGGTCAGATTGCACACCACACAGTAAAAAAAACACACGTTGTATTTTAGACTTATGCAGTATCAACATCGCAAGGGCTAATGTCACATCAACAATTAAGAAACAGTATACTGTGCTGTGTTGTGTTCAACCCCCAGACAGGCAGATTATACTTCAAGAGGAAACCAGTATGCATGGTTTAAAAAAACCCAAACGGTGCAGTATAAATAAATGTGTTATTATAGCTGTTCCTTTTTCAGCTGCCATGTTTCTGTCAGCGACTCATTACAGAACATGTCTCAATGCTCTTACATTCACCACTGCTGCCAGAGCAACTTACTGTAAAACTCTTCTGTCTCTGCTCTTCATTCTTATTCACTCCTCCATTGTTCAGGGGTGTAAAATACAAGTAACCATACATTGTTATGGCACCTTTTGGATGATTTGTTCTGTATTGAAATGAAATGAACACTTGTACTTTTACTCAGTTACATTTTCAGGAGAAAAAACATACTATTTACTCCTTACATTTTCATTTAGACTTTTAAAGTACTCATTACAAATGTCAGAGACCTTCAATTTGTCTTTTTCTGCATTTGAATTTGTTGATTTTATTAAAACATCCAGCCAAATTCATATTGTAAAATGAAGCTGCTTTCAACTGTGCTAATTTGTTTAGTAGCATACACTTCTTTTCTTTCATATACTGAGTGTTTTTAAATGTGGAAGTACACTTTTTTTACTTGAAGTGTAGTTTTGGCTCCATACTTTTTACACTAATGCTGGTGGTGTTTATTTGTATCTATGAACCATAGATTAAAGCTGCACTATGTAGGTTTTTTGGTTAAAAGTGAAAGAAGTAGCATTACTAAGGCTTTGTTCATACAGCAGGTAAAAGTGGCCCAAATCTGATTTTCTCACTTCAGTCTAATTTTTTTTGTTTGGCTGTTCACATTATCTATTAAATGTGATCTGTGTGCGACATCAGTCTGAACAGATCAGCTCCTAAACTGACCCTCATCCGCAAAAGAACAGAGCTTTACGTTGCGTCGCGTGGCTCATCCAGAGGTAAACAATCATGTGTGCCAACTCCAGTCGCTCCCAGAGGGTTCAGCTTCATCTTCGCCAGCATCACAGGAGCCTTCATGAAGCTTCACTGACTGACAGCTGGGCTCATGACCCAGAATGTGTTCGAGCTCGCTGTAAAAAGGGCGCGGTCACTTCTTTCGTTCGTGTCCTCGGATTCTTTGAACTTTCAGACTTTTAAATGTTCTTTTAACCCTACAGCCTTGTTCTCCTACGGCCGCGTTCTGCCATTTCTTTCGAAGTCTCTACGAACATGGAGGGTTTTGGATCAGTCTCTTCTAATTTTTTGCACAGAAACATAACCCCAAAAGTTTATGATGTCTCAGCACTGCTAAATTATGATGAACATGAAGTTAGATTGATGTAAAAGTTGCATGAATTCCGATCTGGCTGTTCAGAGTGAGTCGCATTGCCACATATCGGATACGTATCGGATTTCAGTACCATATATGAAAGCATCTCAAATCAGAATTGAAAATGACAGATTCAGTGTGTTTTTTTTTCTGTTCACACTGACACACAAACACACATCTGTGTCAGATATGAAGAAAAAGATCGGATTTGGGCCACTTTTACCTCCTGTGTGAACGAAGCCTAAGTCAGGCTGAAATATGAAGTGTGTGCACTGCTGCGAGTCGCCTTGTAAAACTTGAAATAATAATTTAAAGGTGAGAGGCGTGGGGGTCAGGGGTTTTTCGGACCATGTCACACACCTTTACATCTTAATGTGACATGCACAGTCTCAAAAAGAAGGTCCGGCTTGATGTTTTGGTCTCTTAAATGCAGTGTCAACATTGTACAGATGAAGATAGGATGACAGTAGTAGATAATTCACTCACTTCCTTGGAAGACACATCCTGCACAGAGGGCTTCTAGCCTGTTAGCTGTCTGCTTTGTTGATCAGCCTGATTCTACTTGTTGAGAAAGTTGCAGTGCACTTAATAGTTTTCTAAAGAATTGTTATCAAATTAAATCCTTGATAGATCAGAGATTTATACCCCTAATTCTTAAAAAAGACTTTTTTTAGGGCACTATTGAGTGTGTCAGCTATTTTTCTCTTAGTGTCCAAATTGTAGAATTGAATTCCAGAATAATTTTGAAGACACTACATAAATTCCACTCGTAATTTCTACTGAATATTGTAGATCACTACATCAGATAAATGTGTGCCGGCCATTACGCCTGTGTTTGCAGCTACACGTAATCGGCCTTGCTCAAGCAGCTCATGTTGGTTTGTGTGACTGGTGAATACTGATCAGGCCTGTTGTGAGAAAATCAGCAAATGTATTGTTTCATGCATTTTTACCTCCATTTAGAGAACTTAATCATTCTCCCCTATATAGCGCAGTGTGAATGAGGGGGTAGGGGCTCATTTTGGTCAGTCTGAGTGAGTTTTGCTATAGACACCCTGCTTCTTCCGTCTGAGATCATGTGACTTTTTCTGTGTTTTAGGTCTGCCTCGCCATCGCCCATTACTCCCACCCAGCCGACACCCAACTGCTGTTTGGATTTGAGTACGTTGGCACTCGCTTCTACAGCTCCTCAGGTAACACGCTCACACAAACACACTCCTCACACGGTTTTGTGACCTTAATGGTTTCCCACTAGCAAGCTTCGGTTATATGAAGCTGCCCGTTTTGAGTTTATGGTTTTTGTGATGCCATGAAAACAACACATTTGCATGTACTCTCCTTTTCACCCTACAGCAGTTTAGCCCTGCCCATTGATGATACAATTAAGAAGTGCTATAGTCCAGACTGCTTTTTGAATGAGGCACAATGCAGGACAGCCAGTCAGAGCAGAAGTAATTTTTATACATCACAATACATAAAGAACCTGCATACATATCTAAGGGCTATAGAGAGGTTGGAAAATGGTCATGTTATTGATAAATAAAATCACATAAAATGTTAGAAAATGTAGAATGTAGGGCTTCTGATCTTTAAATTGAAGAATTAAAATGCTGAAACTACTCACTCTAAACTCTCTACTACTCCAGAAACACTGAACTACTTCACAGGCAGAACTACACATCAAACATCTGTGTGACTGAGTGCTGTTTCAGGATAGATTTGTTACAGGATGCAGAATAGTGAGACAGTTTTTAAAAGCTAACAGAGCTCCAAAATGATTCTCATTTGACCCACCACAGTAAACAACTAAAAATATTAACATATATTTATATATTGCCTTTTTAAAACAAGTTAACAGCTTTACAGGAAGATTAAAGTCCCCAAATCCTGCATTTTTCTTGGACTTTAAATTTTTTCCATCCACTTTTTCCATCCGTTTTTAATGCTCGTATTGGTTTTTGCAGCTCTCTATGCCTTTAAGATTCATATATGTAAATGACCTCTGTTCTGATTGGCTGCCCTGTATTGTGCAGTCCAGTTTGTAACACTCTTTATAACTTCAGTGTGAATGGGCGGAACTAATGTAGGCTGGATAGGCAGATGTATGCAAATGCATTTTTTTCATGAGATCAGAAAACTGCTTTTATAGCTTAGTGTCCATATATGGATTGTATAGACTAGAGAAGGAGAACTGTCAAAACGTTTTAATAAAGTTTATGCACTGCATCAAACTCTTTCTTTAAAAAAAGTGAGGAGCGTTTGCATTTATATGATGGATTCATTGAGAAGATGTAAACGGTAGTAGGTTGAGATGCAAACACAAACAAATGTGAACAAATGAGTGAAATGAAAAGACAATAAAATTTGACAAGGATAAATTATCATACAAATGTGTATAAATGTATGAATGTGTACAGGTGAGAGGGTGAACGGCGTGGACCCGGGTGGGGGGTTGCAGACTCCCCTGTTTGACTGCTCGTCTGACTGGGACAGAGAGATCAAACGCACTGGAGCCTCAGAGTGGAGGGTGTGCTCCATCAACGAGGACTATCTGGTCTCTCCCAGGTGTGTGCGTGTGCGTGTGTGTGTGTGTATGGCGTGTGTGGTGTGTGTGCGCACGCACAGTTTGTTCCACATGCTGTTTTCTAAACAGCTCTGCGGATTACCAGAAGCTGGAGAATAGGATTAGTCTAGCTCATTTGCCATATTAATCTTCATTCAATCAAAACAACAGCGCAGTCTTACGCAACGTCCTTGTTACAAGTTTATGTAGTGGCTCCATGTGTGATTCACGGGTTGTGATTAGAAGTTGGTGGTTAATCTTCTTTGGTGTTTTAAATGCATCAGTGCATTGTGATTCATCGATTTTAGCATACACTTTTAAAAATGATGGTTCCTCAAGGGTTCTTTAGTAAATAAAATGGTTCTATATAAGACCATGAACACTTAAAGAACCCTTAGCATGATTAAAGGGTTCTTTGCACTGTGAAACGTTCTTCAGATTGATGGAGAATGTGCTGTAGATGGTTCTATATTGAACCTTTTTGTAAAGGGTTCTATATAGCACCAAAAAAGCTTCGTCTGTTGTAACAAGCCTGACATCGTAACAATAGCAGAACCCTTTTTGGTTCTCCATCAATCTGAAGAACTGTTTCACAGTGTAAAGAACCCTTTAATCATGCAGAGTGTTCTTTAAGTGTTCATGGTTCTGTATAGAACCATTTTCATTACTAAAGAACCCTTGAAGAACCATCTTTTTAAGTGTGTTTCACCAGCCTTGATTTTTTATGTTAACACTGATCATAATTGATTGGAACAACATTCAGTATTATTATATTATGCAGTCATTTAATGGCTGAAATCAAGTTCTCAGGATCTGTTCAAAATATTAAAATCCCTCGAAATAGCTTGGTTTATTGTTCAGTGCATTTTTAAACATAATTCAAAATTACACAATTTGAATATTTCAAATTCAAAATTACACAATTTGATATTGAATTAAATCAGGATTACATTTCGTAAGATTTTATGATGAATCATTTCCTGAAGAAACGATTTGATTTCAAATCATTGTGAATTTGTCAACTTGAATGACCGTTTATACAGACTTCTGTTTTGTCCTCAGTCTCCCAGAGTTCTTTGTGGTTCCCTCTTCTCTGGCGGATCAGGACTTGAAGCAGTACGCCTGTTACTTTAACTCTCAGCGCATCCCAGTGAGTTCGCCACGCTGCCAGCCTCTGACAGTCATATAAATCAGCTTTACTGACTCTGCTTCTGCTGTTATGCTTGCCTATAAAGTGCTTGTCAGTTAATGTCATGGTAAAAGAGTGAGAGAAAGTGTCTCACTGCTGCTGTTGTAGAAGCTCAGTTGGGGAGCATGTTGTCAGTGTGTGCAGTTAAAATGAGGTATAGGCTATACAAGCATAAGACAAATACACTGTTGCAAGGTTTTTAGCTTTGTGTAAATAGAAATATTTGGCTTTTAAAAACTGTTTGTTTTTGTGTGTGTATGTAGTTGTGGTGCTGGAATCACTCCAATGGGAGCGCCCTGGTTCGCATGTCTAGCATCACTGAGCCGCAGCAGCAGAGGAAGCTAGATCAAAGGTATGGAAGGAGAATGAGGAGATGTATTGTTTTCACAGTCAAATCCCGGTACAGTACTGGCATACATGTAATATTCGGGTTTCGCATCATTCAGACTTGTAGCTGTTTTACCGGGACACACACATCCATATTTGCCTTGATCCTTATTTATCCTTGCCACAAATGGACACTTTTCTCACAAGACGCCCTGGGTTTTGCCCTACATTATGCAAAAAGAAAGCAGCGTTGTGCACTTAAGATCTTTAGGTGAAAAAATAAATAAAATATTCTTTTGTTTAATTTTAATGTTTTAACTTCTGCGCTTGAGCATTTTTCAGCTTGAGTAAAAGTACAAAACTATTGAAAGTAACATTACTATGAGTTACTACAATTATAGTATTATTTTGATGAACCATTTCTGTTAAGAAGACCCAAGTGGCTGCAGACCTGAGTTAGCTGTTCGTTGCAGCGCTGTCGCCTCACAGTAAGAAGGGCCTGGGTTTGATTCCCCAGCCGGGCAACCAGGGTTCTTTATGTGTGGAGTTTGCATGTTCTCCCTGTGTCTGTGTGGGTTTCCTCCTACAGTTCAAAGACGTGTAGTCAGGCAAACTGGAGATGCTAAATTGCCCCTAGGTGTGAATGTGTATGTTTGTGTGTCTGTCCTGTGATTGACTGGCGATCTGTTCAGGGTGTTTCCTGCCTTTTGCTCTTTGAGCGCTAGGATAGACTCCCGCACCCCCTGCGACCCAGGAAGATAAGTGGCTTAGAAAATGTGTGTGTGTAACTCAGTACTTTTACTTTTGATTACTAAATACATTACAGTACTTTTGTACTTTTACTCAAGTATAAATACAGATAGAATACTTTTACTTTCACTTATGTAGTTCCTCTAGTGATCAAACTTGCTTGCGAAACATACTTGTAAAATGCTGTCATTGTGGAAATGTGATTTAAAAAAAGAAAGTGCTGCTTAAAGACTTGGTGGTGGAGTTGAAGAGCAAAGTGAGAGTCTGACTAAAGAAGACAAAGAAAAAGATGAAAATAAACTGCTAAATAGAGGAAAATGGAAGAAGCATTCCCAGTAACCTGTGGCCTCTTCACTCATGTGCCCACCGGGAATTGTACTAAGTTTAATGCCAGTTGATTGCTGTGTCGGTCTATAGAGTGTCAGGCTATAGAGAGGAGAGAGGAGTGAAGAACAAGAAGGGAGCAGGCGGACGAGAGAACTGAAAAATGATGAGTTGTCGTCTGTCCTCATAGTCCACACGTTCCCTGGAATGAATGTACTAAATGTCATAAATAAAGCAGATTTTGGATAATAGGCCGTGGGAAAGCAGGAAGTCGGAATTCATCCTCCTCTGCTTTTTCATGGCGAATGTCTGTTTTCAATTTATTTTGAATCTTGCGAAGAGCCTGTCAGCTCAATCACTTGATCTTCTGGCACAACAAACCAAGCGGAATTGCCAAAGCTTCTCCGAGATACGCACTGTCCCATTTTCTGTTTGGGGCCCAAACAAAGCGGTTACAGCAAAAACAAGAAAACACAAAGCATCGCCAACAAGGCATGGTTAGAATTTTATCAATAAAAAAATAAAAATATGTCTAATGTAAAAAAAAATATTTGTATTTTGACAGGATTTGCAGTGCAATAATCAAAAGCCACCCGCTGCGCAGCGACGTCCTGAAGACAGACTTGGACAAGAGTCTGCCAAACATCCAGGAGATCCAGACTGCGCTGGTGAAGCTGCGGCAGATCTGTGTGATTGGTTAGTCGGGTCACGCCCTGCTTTCACTCACAGCCTGTTTTGCTTTTCAAAACAGACTGATTTAGATCCATTGGAGATTTAAATCTCTAGTCTTTTGTCCTACACCACTAAATGCTTGTCTTTGATTGCCTCTGCACTGCACAGTTTACTGGTCTGCCTGCTTCGGCAGCTATTTATGAGTCAGTTAAAGGGATACTCCTGCTTTTTTCACCCTAATCTCTATTTGCTGCATTTGTAGCTCATGGTAGATCACCACAGACAATAATTTTGATGAATTACCTGTACTCTGTAAAGAAAACCTGTTGACTCAAAACACAACTGCCCGAGTCAATCTGTTTTGTTTTTTTTTGTTTTTTTTTTTAAACGCTTTGAAATTATTGTTCCTGCTAATCGACTGTATGATACAGATCCAGCAATTAGACAATAGGTTGAAAAATACTGGCATTTTCCTAGACTGTTCTTATAGAAGCAGCTATAGATGTGTGTGTTACTGTCCACTCCACTTGTAAAGGTTTGTTAGGATTGCATTAAGCTAGCCTTAAACAGAGATTCCAGTTTTTTTCTGCATAATTAATGGGTCGAGATATAAGCAAAGTCATTCAGAGCGATTTGATCTAAAATGCTTTATTATAGAGAATACAGCGCGATTCAAAAAGATTAATCCGATTTCAAAGCGCCATATTCTTTGCAACCGTGAGGCGCCTAGGAACCAATCACATACCAATTGACAGAGGGGGTCAAAGTGTTTCTGACTGTCACCGGAAAATGGCTCGCTTCAGTCTGTGAGGAGATGGAGACCCCCGAGCAGAAAGCGTTTTGCATTCTCGGCTTCAATAAGAGTGAATCCGTGATTTTCGTCAGCAGCGAACCTCCAACAGCTCAAAGTGTTCGTCGTTGGTTCCACAACACTGGATGATCTCTGAAATCGCACTGAGTACAGTGAGTACAGTGGCACCCGACATGCTCAATCGAGTATGGGATGAGTTTGACTATGGCGTTGATGTGTTCGTACGGCTGGAGGAGGTTCATATTGAGCACTTGTAAAATTACATAATAAACTTTATGCTCACTTAAACCATTTACAGTTCACTGCACTGTTCTGTAATGATTTACAAGTGAAATAAATCATTTTGAAATCGGATTAATCTTTTTAAATCACTCTGTATCACACAGTAAGAATTGTTCACTGTGATGGTGATAGGAACCAAACCACTGACAAGCGTAATGCCTATGAGACCTCCTTCACAGCATGAAATTGTTATGAATACTCTGCCCGATGCATGAGGCATTGTCTTACGACAGGTTTGGGAAGATTTTGGCCTAAAATGCATTCATGCATTCATCAATGCCAAAGCTATTAATGGTGGAGTGTTTTTTCAGATTACATCTAATTTACCACTATCAGCATTTCCTATAAACTGTGAAGGTTCTGTGACTGTTTTGGATAGTAAACAAAATGTCCATATTTGTGTGAGCCCTGGTTCCTTTCACTGTCGCTGTACTGAAATCCAAAAGTCTGACATGCAGACAGATATTTTGGAACAATCAGCGGGATTTCCCTTTGAAGACAAGGAAGCAGTACTGCCTGCCTCAGCATGTTGAAACACTGCAGTGGAATCAGTCCTCCCTTTCTTTAGAGTTCAGCGATCTGTTTCTAGTAAAACTTAGTCATATAATCAGAGTAAACTGATGATGCACAGGGCCTCATTTTAGATGTCTTGACATTTCTCAAAAATAGCTTGTCTGTCTCATATTTCAGAAAAGACTACTTTTTCACTCCTGGAGCATTGCACTGGATATGCATTGTGCACGTGTTCAGAGTGAATTTGTCATATCAATAAATTGTGGAATAAAAGCTAAAACGGCACAACACAAGCCATTTTTAAAGCAGTGTAGTTAGCAATTATAGCCTGTAAGGCATCTAAAAGGCCTTTTTGATCATTTAATGACCTTTAGCAAACGTTTATATTTTCACTGAAGATCTCTCGCAGCAGCGTTGCCATCTGCCGTGCATTGTTAAAGCCTTTCTAGTACTATCTCTGCTATGGCCATCAGTGTGACCATGCTTATGTTAAAGAAAGGCCAGACAAAACATACGTAGTCTAATAAATGTTGTATGACGCCACCATCCACCTGACCTCACGAAATCACCATCTGCTATGTACATATGTGTAGGGCCTGAGTAGACATATTCAGTACTGTGCAAATGGCCACCCTCCATTCATTTAATGCCTAGTCAAAACAGAGATTAAATACAAATTATACGTTTTTCAGCATCAGGAAAAAGAGAAAGCATATATTTAACAGAAAATAGCACATAACTTTCAACAACTATAGTATAATATCAAATTTCACACTAAATCAGTATTTATTGTGTCCACTCTTTACAGTTTCCATTAATTTCAGGAGACTCACTTTCAGTTTTTCAAAGAAATCTGCAGGGATATTTTTCATACCTCCAAAGTTCAGTCTTCAAAGTTAGTTGCATTTTCTGCTTCTCATGATCCAAATAATCCTAAACACATTCAGTGATGTTGGGTTCTGGACACTAGGGTGGCCAGCTGGTCCACCAGCTTTTGCATATTTGCTAGAAGCCCCGTTTTCTCTTTTTAAATAATTTTTTGAACTACGGTTTTGGGGAATTCCTGTTATTTCCACATATTTTCTTTTGACTTTCCACTTGAAATATCTCCTGAAAAATGAATAATTTGTACTTAATGGTCATATTGAGTGAAAATAACGGGCAAGTCTTGTGATTTATTTATAGTAAATTGCAGACTGGTTTGAAAATCTGTACATTGATATGAAAATACATTATAGTATAATATGGTGTTAAACAATAGAGTTATAGGCCATAGAAAGAGGGACTCCAGGGTTCAGTCTAAAGTGCAGCGTGTCCACTCTGATTAATAAGGATCACAACTCTGCTGGCTTATTCAATAAATAAACCAAAGTAAACTTCTGGGTTCCTGATTAAGCTCCATATTCAGTATCTTTAGTCTGCATTAAACTCTCTTTGACTGCCTTTCTGCGCTTTTGGGAATTGTTTATTGTTCTACTCAACCTGTTTATCTGAGATAGCGGGTGTGAATGTTTTGACTGTGTGCGCATGCAGATCCCTTTGAGGAGTCGGAGGAGAAGTGGCTGTCGTCCATGGAAAGTTCGCGATGGATGGAGTACGTCAGGTATGAATAAACACCAAACCGTGGCCAAATGACAGGTTGGCTCTCTCACAGCCTCATGCTGGCAGCAACACTGCGGCATTTGCTTTTCTTTAGATGAGTCAGTTCAGCTGCCAGCATCAGTGGCATGTGGTTGGTGGGTGTATAAGACCCTAAATGTCCCAGTTGAAGCAGAATTGTCATGTTGCTTCGGCTCATTCTTAGGAAATTCATTTCACTGAAGCTAAAAGATCAGGAAAATCTAAAGGGCTGTGATTGTTGTTTCAGAGCGTTTTTGAAGCATGCGGTGGAGGTGGTCTACATGCTGGAGGGGAAACAAGCCTCTGTCATTCTTCAAGGTTAGAGATGCTCTGGGCTTCAGTCAGTTCTTTATCAGCCTTCTTGCAGCTACAGTACAGATCTGCTCTGTCAGCCATCAGCTAGTCTTGAGTGTTCTACATCAGCTGTAGGGTTCCTGAGCTCACTCTTTTACTCTCTCTCTCTCTCTCTCAATTCAATTCAATTCAATTCATTCATTCAATCTCAGTTCATTCATGTTGCTCTTTGCATGACAACTATAACACTCTTTTGCCAAAGCTTTTGTTGGGAGATTAAGAACAAAGTCACATATACAAATAAAGCATACGATATAACAGGTGTTATTATATATCATTATATAATACTATATAGCAGATGTTTGTTTATAGGTGTGTATCTCTGACATGTATCTCTCTCTCTCTCTCTTTCTTTCTCTCTTTCTTTGTTTCTCTTTCTTCACTCTCTCTCTTTCTCTTTTTCTCTGTCTCTCTCTCTCTCTCTCTCTCTCTCTCTCACTCTTTCTTTCTTTCCCTCTTTCCTCTCTCTTTGCTCTTTCTTTCTTTCTTTCTTTCTTTTTTGCCTTTTTGTCTTTTTTGTCATCTTTACTCTCTCTCGCCACTCACCCTCGTTCTTTCCGTCATTTATTCTCTCTCATTCTCTACTTGCCTCTCATTTTCTCTCACTCTCTTTGTACTCTCTCTCCCCGCTGTCTTTTTTCCAACAATTATTCTCTGTCACTCACACTCACTTTTATTCCTTGTTCTCTCTCATTCTCTCTCTCGTTCTCTCTTTTTCATTCCTTGTTCGCTCTCTCTCTCTCTCTCTCTCTCTCTCTCTCTCTCCTCTCTCTCTCTCCCTCTCTCTCTCCCTCTCTCTCCCTCTCTCTCTCTCTGCAGAAGAAGAGGACAGGGATCTGAGCTGTGTGATCTCGTCGCTGGTGCAGGTGATGTGTGACCCTCACTGCCGGAGTTTGGCAGGGTTTCAGGGTCTGGTGCAGAAGGAGTGGGTGATGGCTGGCCATCGCTTCCTCGACCGCTGCAACCACTTGAAGAAGAACGACAAGGAGCAGGTAGGATCGGCTTCCTGAACCCCCTGACCAAACCAACCCTGGACAGCTGTAGTATTGAGATGGCTAGAACGTAGCGTGGTCTTGTTTGAGCACTAATAACAGGTGGACTTTTTTACCCAGCACTGAATAAAAGGCTTTTTACACAGCAAGCTACAAATCACTCCTCACCTGCCTGTTCTTCTGCTTTCTGTATGAAATTTCACAACTTCATCACGTACAGCAGGCAGAAAATCGCTCATCTGGTAACCATGGTGACTTCAGCGCTAGCACAGCTAGCCCTCGTCCTTCAGAGATTGCGCCTCTGCTTTTCACATGAAAATAGGAATTGTGAAAATCATTGAACAGAGAACGTCCTCCTATTGCGACAAGGCTTGTAGTTGAGAGGATAAGCACGTGCGTACATGTGGTTGAACTCACCAGCAGACACCAACAAACCCAAATGTTGAGTTGGTTTGCCGTACCTGTGTTTGATTACCATGGTCTCACAGTGTTCTAGTGCACTCTCCCTATTCACACTGTTCTAGAGTGTTCCCCCCCAATCACACCACTCTAGAGTTTTCTCCCCTATTGCACTTAAAATACCTGTATCGTTCAGAATAGATTTTGAGGTTCAGCTACTAGTTTTTAAGGCTCTGAATGACCTTAAAGCACCGCTTACATCACAGTGTCTGTCTGTTTATGTTCCAGCACGTGATCTTAGATCTGCAGATACTGACCTTCTGCAAACACCGAATGTAAAATACAGAAAACGTGGAGAGACTCTTTCAGTTCTTCTGCTTCTAGACTGTGGAGCTCAGTTCACCTTTTATTAGACAGTCAAGCTCTGTGTTCACTTTTAAGAAGCATCTAAAAACGTATCTCTTTAACTCTAATTTCTTGTATTACTGTTGACCTTTATCACCTGTCTGTAAAGCACTTTGAGCTGCCAACAGCATTCGTTTTAGAAATGAAGACGTAAACCAACCATCGCTTTTGCCAGGCCTGCTGGTCTAGTGTTAGAAAGCGATATTGACATTAATACGCCAAGTGTGTCTATATATTGTTCAGTCTTGTTTTACTATTGTACAATAAAACTATTTTAGATCTACTTTGGTTGTTAAAAGTGGTTCCTGTTAGAAAGTGAAGGGACTTTACAGAAAAATTAGCTACAGTTTTCCTACAAAAACACATCTAAAATGGTTTTATTTGATAAAATGTATATACTGCAGTGTATACCAAAGTTGTCAGAAATTATACCGTGATGTACATTTTTGGCCATACTGACCACTTCTCCTATCAACATGAGAATGCTGTGAATGAATGAGATGATTAATTTGCATATTGGGAATACCATTACGGTCAATGACAGATCAAAGCTAGACCTGCTTTCGCAAGGTCTAACTCGTAGCCCTGAAGACTCCAACACACCTGAATCATGAAAAACAACATACATGTTGCCTAGTACATACTGCATGCTTAACTTACAGTGTTAAGAAAATGCTAATCTTTGGAATTATCTGGATTTCTGCTGCTCTTCATGTACAGTACAACCAGTGCACGTAGTAATTTTACAGTGTCATATCTTGTTTGCTGTTGTCTGTTTAAACAAAGATATGGCACTGTTGAATAGGACTGTCTTTATTTATTGTTTTGACTTAGATCAGATCAGATTACATTTTATAAGCTGCTTATGCAGAAAGTTGCACAATTCCGAACAAACATTTTCCTGTAATTGTAGGTGTAACTGAGTAGTTCTCAGTCCCAGCTTCTTTTTTTCCACCTGATTCAACTCTAACAGTACCTTTCAAACCCTGCAAGATCAATTAGATCAATAAGAGCAGGAAAATCGCTTAAATGTGTCTCCCCTGTCTTATCTCCTCTACAGTCTCCCCTCTTCCTGCTGTTCCTGAACTGCGTCTGGCAGCTGATGGAGCAGTACCCAGCAGCCTTTGAGTTCACTGAGATGTACCTGATCATGCTAAGTGACAGCATGTGGGTCCCTGTGTTCAGCACCTTCCTCTTTAACTGTCCCCGGCAGAGGGCAGAACACAGCAGGGTGAGCCAACCCAACCACACATTAACTCTCAACAACCCGAGTAGGGATGCCAGTTTTGGTAAATTCTTTTGACCAGTAGCCGACTGTTATTATTTGGTGATTAATCGTTCACTGACAAACCTAAAATCATGGAAAAACATCAGACACAGGCTTTAGACTTTATTGAATGAAAAACGTGACCCAACGCAACAGATGTGACAGTAATGTAGACTAATTACTTACACTGACCACACATTATTAGCCTGATTTAACACATATATGAAATTCATTTGTATAGGTAAGACATCAATCAAGATAAAGTCGGTAGCTCGCACCTTTCATGCTTTTTTGTCATGGGACTAACTTTGTTAGCTAACAAACACATATGTAGGCTATAGCTTAAGGCTGTGGTCATTTTGAGGAGAAATACCAACATATCCACTTGAGCGGGGGTTAGTCTGCGACTCCAGCACATCTGGGTGTCAAGATCGACTGACCAGTGGCTCTGAGAGTCAAAAGATAATGGATTGTCTTCACATCACTGTAATGTGCAGCTACTCAAAAAATGTAGGAACTACATTTGGGATGGTTTAATTTGTGCTTTATTTTTTAGCCCTTTATCACCGGCTCTGGCGCAGCCGGTTAAAATTAAGAGGAGTCTAGGAGTCGACTCCTTTGAGTCCAGCAGCAGGAATCGAGAGTCTTAGTTGACCACAGAAAACCCAGAGTTGTCTATCACCAAGTTGTGTGCTTGCGCCCTCATATGCATAATACAAGTTGAATGAAAGACCCGCCAATTCAGATATCAATTGTTTAACTGAAATTAACACTTCAACGCTTTTTACAACAGGCGTTGTCACAAAGCAGTTTTACCGAAAAAAAGTCTGGGTCCCTGAGCGACGCCAGTGGCAACAGTGGCAAGGAAAACTCACTAAGAGCAAGAAGAGAGGAACAAAGACTCGAAAGAGGAACCCATCCTCCTCTGGTTGACACCAGATAGCAAACAATAACAGCAGGGAATGAGGTTTGACCATCAGTATAAGATACAGAAAAGCAGGAGAAGCAGTGTCTGTGATTAAAAATGCAGCAGGATCATCAGGAGGGTCAGTGGTGTGCAGGTGCGGTTTGCACAGCATTGTACAGCAGGACGCTCCATGGTGGCCAAACTGGTCCAGAAGGCTGGCGAACAGTGGGCACCCAATCAGGGCACATGAAGCAACACCATCAGACCCACAGGATGGGCAGCGTGTATTTGTCGGTTAACTGTTAATCATTAAGATCCCTAATATGGAGAGATTTAGAGGCTTGGACAACCACTTTTTCTGTTCTATTGATCTTTCTCTTACTCTCCTGTCTCAACTCAGAACCTCTATCATATCAAATGTAAATAACTGTAATAATGGTAGTCCTGACACAACATGTTTTTCTCTGCTCTAACTCAGCTGAATCATGAAGGACTCAGTAATCAAGTTGTTATTTCTCTGATTCTGTCTTCTGTCAGGATTTTGCCCTCAGTAAGAGTATCTCCTTGGGGAAGGACCAGTCTCTGCGTTTCCCTCCTGTCTGGGATTGGTCTCAGCAGTTCAGCCTGAAAGACCAGACCCTCTTCAACAACCCTCTGTATGTTGGGCAAGAGCGCCCCCTGTGTGCACAATGGCACAGTGCGGACGTTTGCACATAGAAGAAGCAAGGTAAGTCCTTGTTTGCATCATCCATCCATCCATCATCTAAACCGCTTATCCTTCTGGGTCGCGGTGGGGTGCTGGAGCCTATCCCAGCTGTCATTGGGCGGAAGGCAGGGTACACCCTGGACAGGTCGCCAGTCCATCGCAGGGCTGTTTGCATCATTATGAAATAAAAAAAAAAATATGAAAAAAAACTCATATTTGCCCTTTTTTGTATGCTAATTGTTAAAATACCACTAAGGAGGAATTAATTATTAAAGAGGAGTTATTCATTATTTATAAATGTATTTGTTATAACTTATAAATAATATATGCAAAATCAGTTTCAGAGAATTTTTTTTGTTACATTTTGCATTGTGTTGAAATTTCATGACTGAAAAGTTCCAAAATTACAACAATACTTGGATAGTATGCCATTATAAATAAAATGCATTATTAGTAATTATATTTAAAATTTGCACGTTACAAAAGAGGAATTAATACTATTATATGTATAATAATACATAATGCTCCTTTAAAATGGATTGTCATAAAAAATGCATGTGATTAATTCATGTCTTTGGCAGAGAAACTACAGCTCCACACTGCGAGGTGTTCCTTCAGTTCTGCGGAACGGCGCTCTTGGTGACCACGACACACTGCCACGGCGCAATTCTCTGATGCCGCGACTCCGGCCGGACCTAGCTCAGTTACGGGAGCAGCAGGAAAGCCCCGCCGAGCGCTTCCTGCAGGACTGGCTGTCTCGGCCAGCCGACCCACAGGGCCTGCTTCTGCCGCAGCTCCTGCCCTCACACCTGCCCTTCTGGAAGCTGTACTTTCTGCGCTGGGTCCCCGAGGCCCGCATCCCCCACGGGGGACCTGCGACCGCCTTCCACAAGCTCTCCATGCTGGCTGATGAGATAGAAATGCTCCAGAACCAGCTGAGGCAATACAAAGGAGGGGGAACTCCAACCCTCACCCCCAGCAGCCCTCGGACAGAGCCCAGCAGAATGTACTTTAAGGCGGGCTCGTCTCCCTGTGAGTCGTCCCCTGCTCCTCCAGAGTACCTCAGCTCGTCCTTTCCTTTCTCCCCTGTGGGGAACCTGTGCCGCCGCAGCATCCTGGGCACCCCCCTCAGCAAGTTCCTCAACGGAGCCAAAATCTGGCTCTCCACCGAGACACTGGCCAATGAAAGTCTCTGAGATCACACAGGATGACCAGAGGCTACCATCTGCCCATAGTACACTGGCCCAAACAGGGATTTTAAGCTGTGACGGCTGTAGGGATGGAAATCTGGGTTATTGCTGTAGCCAAGGAAACCAAAATCACTAAACTCTAACATGACAGCAGAACTAGGGTGTTTTTGACAGGCTTTGCTGATGACATATCTTTAGAAAAATGGAAAACCCAACTAAATTAATCAGTCTTAGTACTGAACTCATTGTGGGAATAGAGCTGTTATATAGTGTACATTAAATTGTAATTCAACACACAACAAAAACAAGAAGTTAACTCGCTTAAACAGTACAGTTTTCCCAGCCACTGTAGCTATTCCTGCTGCCGTCATTGCTTAAAATACCTACTGTTGGAATTCTCTAGAATGTTCGTCCTCATTCACATTGTTCTAGAATGTCTCCTCCCATTGATATTATCCTGGAACAGGGGTGCTCAGTCCTGGTCCTGGAGATCTACCAGCATGGAGACTTTAGACCCAGCACACCTGGCTCTAATATTCAGATGTTGAAGGCCTTCTTTACCTGGATCAGGTGTGTTCGAGTTGGAGCTGAACTCTGATCTCCAGGACCAGGATTGGACACCCCTGTTCTAGAACGTGTACCCCGTTCACCTTGTTCTAGAGAGTTCTAACTCGGTCACACCTCTACATTTAGTCTATCATTTCTTTTTCTGATCATCTACAACTGAGGCTGTGACTGAAATGGATCCCTACTCCCTCATAAGTATTGTGATGTATTGGGGTGATTTAGTTGACCCCTATATACTCGCATGTAGTTTCTTAATTTTGTTATTTTAAGTGAATTTGAATACTTTATCATCAGACTGCATCACCATTCACCAGTTGCATAAACAAATCGACCTTAGTTGCTTAAGAGGGGCTGAACTTTAAGCTGTAGACGTGAGCCTAACATTCTGTAAAAGTACAGGGGAGGATGGAAAAAGTACAAAACTTGATTATAGATGACACCTTGAATTCTTGGTCTTAGACTGAAGCAGCCTGCAGTTACCAGTCATCACTTTATTAAAGGGGTTAATTCATTAATATGTTTTATTAAGGGGTTAAAACGTCTTCGTTTTAAACTGTGAAGGCTGCTGTTTTTCGCAGTGTTTCTCTAGAGTTGAGTGAGTCTGAGACGTTTCATTTTCAGTGGTTCAGCAGCCACTGTTAATGTTCACTAACGTTCCTCAGATTGTTGTGTACTTACAAGACATGCAATGCACTCTGGTCCACATTCAGCTGATGTAGTGATATACAGCAAAGAGTAGATTGTGGGGTTTTTATAGTGCCTTCAAAATCACTATCCTACGATTAGGACACCACCAGAAAATGGCCCATAATACTCAATATTGCCCTAAAATGCAAATAGGGATTCATTTTAGTGACAGCCTGACAGCCTGGAGAACTTTCCTAGAACAATGTGAATGAGGGAAGAGCTTTCTAGAACAGTGCAAATGAGGGGACAGCTTTCTAGAGCAGTGTGCTTAGAGGAAAAACATTCTACAAACTCCCAACCACCCTAAAACACCCAACAAACATCACCAGGTGTGGTGTGCAAACCCACCGTTTGGATTTTGGTGGTGTTTGTCCGAGAAATCTGAACTTAGTAAACATCAACAAACCGAAACACTGGGTTGGTGCACCTCACTTGAAGGCCTTTGTTGAGTTTCAGTGTTTTGGGGTCAGAAAGGGACAGTAAAATGGTAGCTTGCCTGTGGTTGAGGTTGTGGTGTTGAATTGTTGTGCGCGTGTGGACACAGCTTGAATATCTGGGTCTGACTTGGGCTTCGGCTGTTTTATTGCTGTGCAGGTTTGATTTACTGAAGCTCTTGTGATTGTTCAGTCTGTTGTCCAGGCTTATACGTCCACCCATGCACCATATTTGTTCGTTTTTTTTTGTTTTGTTTTTTTTGCACAAGATTATCTATATGGCTCAATCCGCACATGTTTTTCAGAGTTTGGATATAGTTTCACTCTTTCTAAGCTGCCAATACAGATTTTTTTTTTTTCCTTGGAAAATATTTCCTGGTTTGTGCAGAGGTGTGTGGCATTATGATGAGGAAGGTAGGACTGTAAATTAAATCTGTGGTAGAGAATCCTTTAACACGTTAATTTTAGCATGTATAGTTATATAGTTCTATAGACTTTTCAAGGGCCTTCTGGTAAGGTCTGACTAGCTTTGTTGTAAAATGAATAACCAAAAATTGTGAATTATGTGGGTAATGTCAGGGATTCCCCACACTAACCCCAAAACGCAGGTTATAACTGTGCACTCGCAGTGATCTCTCACTCAGGCTGAGCCTGTCTGTAAGATTGCTCTCCATAGAAGCACAGAATGGCTGCTCAAGATGACTGAATGCTGCTGTCGCCGGTCAGCTGGTTGATTTGGCTCAGCAGTGGAGTGCACAGTATCCTGACAGGCACATAGTGAATTAGCATTAAAATAGTTTAGAAAACAGAGAATTTTTGAAAAGTAGGTTGAGGGTTCTATTGTTAAACAGCACTTCTTACCTCTTTTTGTTATAGTAAAGGGCCCATTTCATAGAATTTTTATTCTTTCTAATTTTAGACGAGTTTGACGCTGTACACTGTTAGTTTCATGTTGTACTGTTCATTCCCCAGTCCATACGGTTCATGTATGAAAACTAAGCGGCAAAAACAGCCCCTTTGGAATCCATTGTTTTTTATGTATTCTACTACAGCCAATCCAGACAGAGGTCATTAACATATATCAGTCTTAAAGGGGAATTCCAGTGATTTTTCAAAATTTCTGTGTAATTCAGTGGGTGAAATATTAACAAAAGTATTTCAGAGTGGCTTGATGTGAAATAGTTCCTTTTTTCAGAGAAACTTGCAGACTCAGATTTCTTTACAGTGGTGGTGATGGGAACCAGGAGTCTTGATGTCTGCAATGCAAATATAGTCTTTTTATTTACTATCCAAAACCACTAGTGAACCTAAAACTTCAAACTAACCTTTTGTATGTAGTGATGATGGTAAAATCTGAAAAAATAAGTTTTCCTTGGGGACTATTTTGCCTCACAACACCCCTTCATCTTGAATAGATTAAAACAGGCATGTCAAACTGGGGACCTTCCAGGCCAAAGTGCTGCAGAGATTAACGTTTACCTTGATCCTATGCTCTGAATTTAGTTCACAGAGGTCTAATTAGCTGATGAGCTGAATCAGGTGTGTTTAATGAGACAGTGTGCTGACATATGCAGTGTTTCGGCCCGTCAGGACTGGAGCCTGACAGATGTGGATTAAAATAAATTGATTAAAACACGTTTTAGGTCAAAACCTTGTCACAAGACTACTGTGAAATATCTCCGGCATCAGGCTGAGTATTCATACTGTAACTCTCTGTGAGGGAGATTTTAGTGGCGTTAAACTGTTAAGATGTCTGGTTCCCATCACCACCACTGTGAACAATACTGACAATTTCTCTAGAACAAAGCATTTCATACCAAACCACTCTGAATGATTTTATTGACATATTAGCCATTAAATTCTGCAGAAATATTTAAGAATCAGCAGACTTCCCACTGAAAGGCGCAGTAACTAAAACAGCAGTTTAATTCTAAGGAATAAAGAGAGGTTGGAAAATAGTCATGCGAAAATAAATTCTTACTGTTTTTGGTATATGCAACCACGCAAACATCATAAGTGGACCTCAGGGGGGGGTAAAATACAAGGAAAATGCAGGATGTGGGCCCTTTTAAAAACCTCTCCTGTTTCTTTTTGAAAGGTGAACAGTTGTCTTTTTCTGATTTGATATGTAGTTTTCCATAGAGACATTGATTAAAGCCCTTAGTAAGATTTTGATTTTGGTTTGGGCACATTTTTGACAGAATTTTAATAATTTCTTTTACTTTTTTATTTGTCTTAAATAAGGTACTGTTTTTTGCCCAGGAACTAGTTGAAGTAGTTTGTGTGATTTAGTGTGATTACCACTAACGCAGTGCACTCAATGGTGTTGAGAGTATGACAGTTGTGCTTGATTTTCAACATATTTTGAGTTTTTTTTTCCTCACAAAACAGCGCTGATATTTATTCAGACATGCAAAAGAGGCTGAAACAGGGTTATTGGTTCCAATCCTCTGTGCCTTGCTTTTCTGAGATCATGACTTTGCCATTCAGTGGACCTGTTTTCATCTTTCTAGCTGTAAACGATGCTAAGCAATGCCTTAAGAGTTTCCCCATTCGCTCATCAGAGGGAAAACTCCTAACATCATTCCAAAGCTCTGAATGGAAGCCATATGTGCAAGGGCATTGTGTGCATTGCAGTTGTTTAGATGGCAGCAGGCAGCCAGTTAGGCTTCCTAACAGGCTCTTATATGGCTGAAGGGCTGTGATTGGCTCCTTTAGAGCTTTTCCAACTGTACCAGGTCATGTGGAGCCAGCCTTTGAGCCACTATGCAAGACGTGACGCTTCTGATTTACTTTGTTGTGAATAAAAAGGAATTTACTTCAAATCAGTTTCAGGGTTTTTTTTGCCTGTATAGGTCCGTGATGAAAGCTCTCACCGGAGGCTGAACTCCCATTGCTGGCGTGATTCCCTAGCACCCTCTTCTGACCAATTAATGCAACAGTCTACTCTAATCCAGTGGTTGCTAACACATCTAGTTGAACTCATCTGCTTATTATGTAACTTTTATGAACCGAGTCAGGAACCAGGAGGTGTTCAGTGCTCTCAGCACTGTGGCAGTGTTTAACTGTTCCCTTGGCTATTTCATAAAGCATCGTGTCTCATTTCATGCCGAGATTTAAGACTGTCCAGTAAGAACACTTCTTGGTGCTTCTATTAAACAATCTAGATTTTAGATCACTTTTAAATCGCCTGGCTAACAGAGAAATCCATTAGAATCATTAGACATGCAGGAAGGGCAACTCCACTGATTTTTCAAAAATTCTTCACAGTGAAATCATTCAAATGTAAATCTTAAAAGGCATTCAGAGTTGTTAACTGTGAAATGGTCCATTTTAGAGCAATGCTAAAATGCTCCAAAAAAAAAAGCAGTGGAGTGTTAAATGCCTCTAAATGCTACCTCAGAATTATTTAATGAAAATTGTTATGAATGTGTTACTTGATGCCTAAAATTATATAAATAAAAATAAATAAATGATTATATATATATCTATATATAATTTATTTTTTACATTTATATAAAATGTAATATATATCTATATGTACATATATATCTATATATACACACACACACACATACACAATGTATATATGTGTGTATATATATATATATATATATATATATATATATATATATATATATATATATATGCAATTGTAAGGCAAAACCATTCCTACTTAAAACCTCTTGGGAAGATTTTTTTTAAATCTACCACTATTTAATCATCAGAAAACATCTGCCTGCCAATTTCTTTAGAAGGGTGCACTTCACATCAAACCACTCTGAATGACTGTTTAAATCTCAACCACTGACTTGTGCAGAAAATAAAGAAAAATGGTGGACTTTATAAAGGCTTAATAATACCTCAGTTCTTACAGCAAGCTTAAAACAAAATTGTGCTGTGTGCAACTCCAAATGAGGATCTCCCATTTTTCTTTTAAATATGACAATTTTAATATAAATGACAGGATCGTGTAAAGACACATTCAAATAATTGCCATCTTTCAAAGAAGAACTGTACACAATATTTCACAGTTAAAGCTATAGCTTTAGTTTGCTGACAGAAAGCTCTTTCTGTTTCTTCTTCTTGGCAGCCTGGTCTTTAGAGCCCTTGATCTGGCTCTTGACTTGGTCCTGCAGTTGAGAGAAGAAGGCTTGGGAAGAGCGCAGAGCTTTGTCCATGCCGTCATCCTGCCACAGGAAAAAAAACAACAGAGAACACATCAGTGCACATGCAAGTGAGGTTCACCTGGAGGATGTGCAAAGCTGAATTAATGGCAAACCAGCTCATTTTGGGCTCATCGAGCTGAACTAAACAAACACTGGGTTAAACTCAGGCTACTTTAAATAACACTGGTTTGTTGTTACCAAATGAATATCATACTACGAATCCCAATCAGGACCGACTGAATGAACAGACTATTCAAGAACTACATAGCATCTTGTGATGAGTGACAGATGGAGAATTTCATACTGAGCTTACAAATGTGTTAAAACAAATTACAAATAAAATGCTATTGGATATTTTATCCATGTAAGGAAAATAAAGGACTGCACTGATGCTCTGATTTTTCTCCCCAGTTTAGTCGTATCCAGTTCCACACACTAGTCAGGACTCCCCCAATCACACGACACCACCAGCGCTAGGAGGGCTGGCACAGGCTTTCTCTGAGACCTGTGAAGCACCACCTCATCTTTTCAAACTGCCGCTCACGCAACATCATTAGACAGCCGATCGCACTCTGAGGAAAGCGCCAACCGCAAGATCTGTTACATCAGCTAACAGACGCCTGCGCTGACTAGCATCGCACTGAGTGATGGGGGACACGGGGGGCCACCCCACCCACCCAGAGAGACAGGCCAATTGTGCTCTCTAGGACTCCCGGCCACGGACAGCTGTAGCATCACCAGGGATCGAACCTGCGATCTCCTGATGATAGGGCCAACGCTTAGACGATATGATAACCATAATACTATGCACTTCCTTTCATTATTATAAATGTAAAATGACAGGATGGTATGAGTGCTCTAGGATCTGCCCACGTCAGTAAGATCAGAATTTTCCTGTGGATTTGATGGAGCACCTAAACACTGCAATAGTTTCAAAACATACAATTCAAAAGCTGCAAAAACAGCCTTTTTTTAATTAACTCATTCTATGAGGTCACAAAACATGTCCACCTTTCCAGCCTGCAGCAGAAGCCCTGCACATACACACTGAAGGACGCACAGTTACCAAAAAACAGCCTGTTCAGTTCTAAGGGATAAAGAGTGGTTGGAAAATGGCCATTTAAAAAAGGAATTGTGACCGTTTTTATTATTATTTATTAAAATTAAACAAGGGTGCCTTAAGGGAAAAAATAAAATACTAGAGAAATGGAGGATAGGGGCCCTTTAAACTGCGGTTGTGACTCTGCAATAAGGCACTAACGCTTTTTTCCATGCCAACATGTAAACACAGCATCTCCCTGCTCGAGTGTTTCTGCAGATTGTGGGAACTTAACTACTCCTAGTTTATAGTGAGATAAAACTGAACACTGTGAAAAAATATAAAGAAAATCACAGCCCTCAGCCGTTCTCCCCAGACATCTACACCTAGTTCAGCAACAATGCAGTTCAACAACATGCTAGGTCAACAACAGTGTCAAACATGTTTAATATTATTTTTTTCCCCCTCTGGTTATGGAAGCTACAAAAACGTAGGCTAGTCAGTGAGTTGCAGTCCTCAGCTTTACTATGGCGTCTCTGGGACACCATGCTGACCAGGCCCCTCCAAAAAGAAATCAACAAATCATGAAAATCAACCAACCACTCACCGTAAGTATTTTGGCCCCGCCTCCTTTAGTTAGTTTCCTGAGAGTCGCTTCAACTTCAGCCTTGGACTTTTTCTTCTTCTCTCCTCCTTTTGCAGCTTCTTTGAGCTTCTTCTTCTTTTCACGCTCCTGAATCTTCAGCCTCTTCAGTTTCTTCTTCTTGCGTCTCTCCCGCTTCTTATCGGTTGTTGTCTTCTCTGAGTCACCAAGGATGTCGCCAGCCTTGTTCTTCTCCTGAAGGAAAAGAAAGTTGTTGCACAGCAATGAATAAATAAATAAGAAACTGAAATCTGCTTCTGGTTTACTGAAGTATTTGCTGAACCAAATTTCAGTTTTCAGAGGTTGCTGAAATTATTATGTGCTAATTTCTTATTTGAGGTGGGAAAAAATAACATCACTGCTCATTTGATTTGGCATATAAAAAAAAAAGTAGCGGCGAGCAGAAAAATATCTTACCTTAATTTCCTCTGGAGCCAGAAGAGTGGCGCTGCTGGCACTGACCGGAGCCACCTCCTCCATCGTGATGGACGGCAGGTTGGAAACGACCTTTACCTCAGGAACGTGCTGCAGAGAAGGAAAGAGAATGAGATAAATAGTAAATGCAAAGAACGATTTCAGTGCAAGTCAGAAAAATAATCAGGCCAAAAGCTCCAGTCAAAGTCATCCAGACTTACTGGTTTTGGTGTAAAGTGGAAGTTGGAAAGAGCATCCAGTTTGAGGAAGAGAGTGTCCATTAGCTTCTGAATTTCTACATGAGCTGGATTCTCCTCTTCTTCTGTCTTTTCCTGAAATCCACAACATGATACAGTGTCAGCTGAACTGAGACAACAACTGGACAGCATTCAGACCCTTAAAGTCAATGTGAATTTCACACACATTTCAGGGAGGGACTCTGATCTGAGCGACCATGATATTACAAGATAGTAGTTAATATATTTCCCCACTTAGTGGTGCACAATTATGTAATCAAAACTCTGATGATGTTTTAAGGGCGAACCAAAGTCACTACATTTTGTTGGAAGATAATGGAAACTAAAATCTGGTCTTTTAATGATATGAATTCTGATTTAGAGACATGAACTAAAAGTAAAAAGGTCAGTTTTGAGTTCAGGTGGACTTCTGAAAATTATATAAAGCTTTTGTAAACCCCCTTTCTTCTTTTTCCATTTGGCTTATTATTTAGTTCTTAATCTTAAAGGGAAATTCCAGCAGTTTTTCAAAAATTTCTCTGTAATTCAATCACTGAAATGTAAACGAAGCCATTCAGAGTGTTTTGGTCTGAAATGATGCATTATAGGGAAACTTGCCAACTCAGATTTCTTTACAGTGGTGGTGATAGGAACCAGGGGTCACCATGACTACAACACAAATATAGACATTTTATTAACTATCCAGAACCACCAGTGAACCAACACGAGTCTTCTGAAGGTTTATATGTAATGTTGATGATGGTAAAATAGTAGCAAAACTTTTCTTGGTGCTGTTTTTACTTGCATGCACCCCTCCACCATGCAAGGATTAAAAAACATACACTTTAGGCCTCAGGCAATGTGTCTGTAATTTCATGTAATAACTTTCTCAAAGGCATTAAACTTTTCAGACGTCTGGTTCCGATCACTACCACTGTGAGCAATTCTGATTCTGTATGTTTCTCTAGAACAGAGCGTTTCACACCAAACCATTCTGAATGACTTTGTTTACATCTTAACCATTTAACTGGTGGAATTCCCCTTTAAGGCTTATTACCCAGTAACTACTATTAATTACACAGTAACTACTGTGAAATTAATATACTTAGTATATAATTACTTATATTGTATGCTACTTATATTTTCTACATACAAATACTAGTTCTCTCTCTCTCTCTCTCTCTCTCTCTCTCTCTCTCTCTCTCATCACCATGTAATATTATTTATTTATTTATCTCACCTGTGTCTGTTTGAGGTACTCTTGCTCATAGACTTCAGCCAGACTCAGCTTGCTCTTCTCGTGGTCCAGAGTCAATCTCTTCTTGTACTCAAATACTTCCTCCTTGGGCTTCTCCTTCTTCACAACATCATCCCATGCCTAATAAACCACAGTAGAGTCAAATACTGCATCACATAAATAAAGCAGTTACTGTTGCTAATATAGTGACCGAGTAAAAACTGTGCAAACCTGATCTCTTATTCTTTGTTTGATGATCTCTTCAAGCTGCAGAGTGGTCTCCTCTGTAACTGGAGGGGCTATAGGTAGGAGACAAATTGGAGTGTAATATGCATTGATTATAACAATACGCATTGAAGTATGCACTCATACTTCACACCCACTTCACCAAAATGTGCCAATGATTATTTTTTTTAGTCATTTTTTTGTTAGCCAAAGTTTTTTTTAAGCAACAGACAAAAACAACATCTTTATTTGGTCTTTTCCCAGAGCTAGCACTTACACTCTTTCAACAGACCAGCCAAAATAAGAACAAAATTCAGAAGTTGAACTAAAGCCTAACTGAAGAGCGCCCAGAACAGCACTGTTTCCTACCCATCCTGGAGGCTTGGTCAAACGCCACATCTTCCTCCAGCATGCTGTTCTCCGGTCGCGTCTGTGCCGTCACTTCTCCACTCAGCTGCCAGGGCTTCTCAGCTAACGCGGCCTTCTCCATCTCTCCAATCTTCTCTGCCATCTGTTTCACATTCCAGCGTTTTAGCACCGTTCATAGTTATAGTACTGTACCGTTCAAAAGTTTGGAGTCAGAGTTTGTCAATATCACAACCTATTTTGATGCAGATACATGTATAAAATGATTCTAATGCAATGCTATCACTGTACAACTTCACAGGTTTCAAATACTTTGTAGGAAGCTGTAAATAATGAAGCCGTTTTAGATGCGTCCAAATGAACAGAGCTGCAGATGATTCTAAAATGACTGAGAAAGCTGCACATCCAGAATGAAGCTAATTAAAGTAATATCGAGAACGCCTTGCATTTCAAAGTGCTCAAATCTTGAGGCAGAAAATTTGGCAAGAAATTACTATAAATAAATACAGCAGTGGTCTCCAACCCTGGTCCTGGAGAGCTAGGTTCCTGCAGAGTTTAGTTTACTGTGTCCAGGAAGCTGCCCCGCCCCTCACTTAACTCTAATGCATCTTATTCAGCCAATCAGGGACTTGGGAAGAGGTGGAATAGCTGGAACAGCTGCGGCAAACTGTGGTGGACACAAGGCTGTGCAGGAAGGTCACTCTCCAGGACCAGGATTGGAGTCCACTGACATACAGAATATTATTTAAAAACTACTTGTTCACAAAAGCTAGTTTAGTTTGAATAAAATAATAAGAAGTATTAATATGATGAGCGATTTCAAACATTTGCATAAGTGTGAGTGAGAGAACATGTATTACAAACACATGAATACATTTTGCAGATCTGTACGGAGCCCTGCTGGTGACATCCTGTGTAAACAAAAATAATGCATGGCCACAAATTAGTAAGGCGTGGGAATGAGATGATTAAGTCACGGCCACACCTTATTAACGCGTGGGAAAAAGATCCTAATGCATGGCCATGACTTAGTAAGGCGTGGGAACGAGATCACGGCTTACGCATTAGGATCTCGTTCCCACATTTTACTAAGTCGTGGCCATGCGTTATTTTTATTTATACAGGATGTCACCAGCAGGGCTCCGCAGATCTGTGGTGAAGGAATGTGGGGAAAAATCTCCCCAGAGCTGATACGCACCTTTTCCTGCCTCTTCTCAAATGATGATTTGGAGTCTTCTTTAGCTGCATGTTTAGGCTTCCCACCCAAAATATCCTCCACATCCTCCCCTTCGCTGTCACTGGGGAGATCAAAGGTCACTTTCCGCAAAGCATCTCTGGCTTTCTGGCTCTCAGCGTCACCCCTACACAGAACAACGGGAACCAGAACAGCTCTCACAAACTGCACACGTGCCAAAAACAGTATTAACCTCACGTAAAATGTGCCGGAAAGTTTTTCTATAAACACTCAGAAGGGAAGAGAGTCTCTTACTCCATATCCAGATCCTCTTCATCCATATCCAAATCCTCTTCATCCATATCCAGATCCTCTTCATCCTCATAATCTTCTTCTTCATTCTCCTCTCCCTCCTCATCCTCATCCTCAGGTGCTGATTCATCTTCCTCGTCTGGCGCGTGTTCAGGAGTCTCCTTGTCCATGAAGTAGTCTTTGTACTTTACATCTCTGGAGCTTTTTGACTGCAAATAAACAAAACGCAGTATGAGTTACAGAGCTAAGAGGACTGAATCACTTCAGCAGGCCTCTCCATTTAACACCAGTGTTCACTGTCCTGTATTCACACAGCTTCTCAGAATAGGAGTGATCTGGGACTAGATTACTCTCGTTTACTGTTACCCTACTGAGAGGAACAGGCCTAGATCAGCACTCTTACTCTGATAAGCTCTGCAAACATGGGCCAGCTTTGTTTTAAAAACATTACTTACTACTTACTATCAAATCTATATTTGTCTTCGACTGAAGGGAAATTCCACCTTTTTTCATTTCTGCATAATTCAGTGACTGAGATTGATTAAACCAAGTCATTCAGAGTGGTTTGAGGTGAAATGGTTCACTGTTCAGAAATTTGCTGACTCTGATTTCATTACACTGGTAGTGACTGGAATTACTTCCTATGTTATTTTACTTACTGTCCAAAGCAACCGGTGAAGCTTCTTATAATGGTAAAATAGTAAGTTTTCCTTTGGGGCTATTCGGCCCCTGAAAAAATTATGCTAAAAAAATATTTATGTTTTAGCCCCAAAACTTACTCTCAAAACCACTGTAAAGCAATAAGTGTGTTTATATACACTTAATAACTGGATAACTGCAGAAAGATTTTGTCAGTAATCCAATCAAACATGTTTACATGCATTTGAGTAATCAGATAATGGAAAAACTCCAGGTCTGCATGAGTCAGGCAGTGATCAGATTTCTGCTTTACAACCAGCCAATAAACTCACAGAAGAAGAATAAGAACTTGAGGCTGCAGCTTTTTTTTTTTGGCACCACTAAAAGATGAAGAATATATAAATCTTTCATTTCGTCAAGAATGTATTTGGTTTCAGCGCCACTTCAAAAGTGTTTTGCTGCATCTCGCGTTAACACTGTGGCTTATTTCCAGTACCGCAGTCTGTTCTGCACATGCGCAGGCTGAGAAATCCGAAAGAAATCAGAGTCAGAGTTTACATGCACTGATTACTGAGCTAAAATCCAGCTCTCTTCATCATATTTCTTAATTGGATTTCTAGATCGGAGTATGTTGTTTATATGACCATTTAAATAATCGGATAACTGCAGAAATCTGATTATGATCAGATTATTGAGTGCATGTAAACGCACTTATTGTCTCAGGCATCAGACACCGTGTATTTGTGAAAATTTTATGTAATATTTTTCTGCAAAAGACCTTTTAGCAGCATTTTTAGATGTTTTAGATGTCTGGAAAAGTTTCTCCAGAACGGAGCATTCCCACCAAACTACGCTGAATGACTGTTTACATCTTACTGACTTCATAAAGTCTGTGGAATTCCCCATTAACTAGACAAAGCTATGATAGACTGCTTGGCTATTAAGTCATAAATTCCTGCAGTTTCTCTGGTTACTTTGTATTTGATTTGGCTTCCAATTTCTGCAAATTAGAATCACATTAGAATAAATGTAAGTGTAATAACTCATTTGAACACTGGCTTGCAGAGAACAGTGCCATCACCTTTTTCTGACTCTTCGATGTTGTTGGCTTATCAAAGTTCAGATCCTCCTCATCATCTGACGGCAACTCCTGAAAGTAGTCTATCTCCTCTCCAGCGCTCTCCTTCCCCTCCCTCTTGTCCATATCATCCAGAAAAGCCTCCATTTCTGAGAGTTTAAAAAATTTATCGTCCACTTCCGACACAGTCCTGGATTTAGGTAACTTTGTCTCTGTGTTCTTCTTTTGTTTGGCTTGTTTCTCTAATTTATCGACATCAAAATCGATGTCCGAGTCCTCATCAGACGAGCCGTCCTCCTCATCAGCTGCTTTTGACTTGGGCTTAAGTCTGTTTTCTTTATCATCTTCATCATCATCATCATCATCCGCTTCTTCTTCCTCACCCTCTTCCTCATCTTCCAAATCCTCATTATTGTCATCATCATCCTCATCTCCATCCCCATCATCATCATCATCATCACCTTCCTCTTCTTCCTCCGTTTCTGCAAAAATAGTCAGCGTGTCGTCTTGGACCGCTTGGCCCACTGCCTCCTCAAAGTGAGTCAGCACAGCGCTGTTCTGGAGCTCCAGCTCCTGCCAAACCTGCTCCTCATCGAAATTTTCCACCACCAGCTGATCCAGCGGACTGCCCTTACAGCCGGCCAGCTCACTGGCCTTGTGCAGGTCATAAAGAGTCTTTGTGAGTGATGTGAAATCTGTTGCCAAGGCATCCTGTACACTGTTATGGAAAGCAGGGCAGAAGAAAAGACAGAGACACATGATTACATCATTATATAAGCAGCAAGATTAGTGGTACATTATCACAATTATGGATGCACTGATATGGCAATTGTGAGCCGAGGCTGATAGTCATTATTTATATGTAACTATCTGTGAATACTGATACAATACAAATGCAAAAACTGGAACTAGATATTGAATTAGCATTAGATAGAAATTTAATTTGGCAGGGTTACAAATCTAAATGAGCACTTCTTTACAATAACACTACTATAATAAAGGACAGCATGGTTAAAATAAATGTACCGATAGTTACTGATCAGGTCATAAACACCTTAAAAATAATAAGCAGTTATAATACATAAGTTAGCAGATGTAACACATTAATAAGCAGCTATAACAAAGAAATACAGAAGGCAACAGTGAGCCGTTACATCTGATGAATATGAGTATCTGATGAAGCTGACAGGTTTAATGCTGCCTGATGGAGAAAACATGTATGACAAGTTACCATTAAAATTAGAGCTTGAACAGTGTAGTTGAATGCGGGCTCACTATTGGGCAAACAACACGTCATTATTGCCTCTTATATTTGTGTGTAATAACTGCATATTAATGACCTAAATAATAATCATTAATAAACAAACTTTAAACACTTCATAAACCTTTTATAAAGGCAGTCTTATTATAAAGTGGTGCCTTTAACAGTTGTGCTCTTCCAGAATATTAATTTGAAATCTCAGCTAAAAATGAACAGATGATTAGATCTGATCGATATTTCATCGTGGTATTTGCGTATTTATTGAACTCCGGAAGAGCAGAACATTTAGGTGAATCTGAGCTTTTGTGCTAGCATGTCTGCATTTCATTCATTTTACTGCACTTGTAGCCCAGCAGAAATGAAGATTACATGTCTATGTTTTAGAAATGTTTATGTATCAGCAGATACATGAAAAATATCTAAATTTGGAATCGGCTCACAATCCTCATATCCGTGCATCCCTAATTTTTCATCATCTTCCTACATTTGATAACAACTACAGTTGCTGGACATGAATGGGTTAATAATGTTGATGAACAGGCTGATAAAGTATTTACTACTGTTTGTTTCTATTTCTATTGTTGTTTCATGCCCTGTGATGGAGTGGCGACCTGTCCAGGGTGTTTCTTGCCTTCCACCCAATGACCCCCGGGATAGGCTCCAGTCTATCTGTCTCCTGTCTATCTTAATCATATTGGCAATAATTCATAACATTAATGCCAATAAAAACAGTTGCACTGAAAAAAGACAGAGAGAGACAAAGAGTGAGAGACAGAGTGAGTGACAAAGAGACAGAGAGGCACACACATACAAGGAGAGACAGAGTGAGAAAGAAAGAGAGCGAGAAAGAGAGACAGTCAAGGGGAGGGCAAGACAGTCAGAGAGAGAGAGAGAGAATGAGCCACAGAGAGAAAGACAGACAGGCAGAAAGAGTGTGACAGAGAGAGAGAGAGAGAGAGAGAGAGAGAGAGAGAGAGAGAGAGAGAGAGACACTGACAGACAGACAGACACACAAGGAGAGGGAGACAAACAGAGAGAAACACAAGAGGATAGAGAGAGAGACAGACACAAGAGAAAGAGAGAGATTGAGACAGACACAAGAAAGAGAGAGAGATTGACACAGAGAGACCTACAAGAGACAGACAGAGAGAGACACACACAAGGAGAGAGGCAGACAGACACACAAACAGAGAAAGGGATGAGACAGACAGAGAGACTGACAAAGAGACACGCGAGGAGAGAGGGACACGAAAGAGAAACGGTCAATGGTAGAGAGAGGTAGCGAGCAAGAGAGAGCGAGAGAGAGAGAGAGAGAGAGAGGAGAGAGAGAGACGCACGTGTCCTTCTGGTAACATTAGCTGTAATAATCAGTACAATCAGAGCTGTGAGCTTTTTGCCCGCTCGCTGTGAACTGCCTGTAAAACACCGTATAACGCGGTCAGTAACGGTCATATCAGCCCTGTCTGTGCTGGTGAGAGAGCTGCGGGCCACAGCAGTGAGAGCGGTTTACTGACTTCACTCTCCTCACAGTAACTCAGTGACCACACACTCTCCACACACTCTCACACCGAGGCTTCAGCGAGAGACAATCACGACCCTCACGTCGTGCTTTAAAGGTTATTAAAGTCTTCCTCTCACCGTAAAAACTGCTCAGGCTGCGAAGTGTTCTTCTCTAAAATCTCTAAACACGTTTCCAGCGTGCGCGCCGCCATCGCTGCTCCCACTAGCGACGTCCGACTCGTGAAGGAATCAGTTCCTTTCATCCGGTTCTCTTCAATGAACGATCGAAGCGAGTCACAAGTTCAAACCTTCAGTCAACCCTTTTGTGGCATCTGCGTAATGTTTACGCTGGACAGGATTTCTAACGATAAATAAAATTATCCGTCCACCTTTATGCTCGTAAAATCACAACATAAAAGACTACATTACAACATACCAAGAACTACTTCTTTTAATTTGCGTAAGCGTGTTTGAATCACTCGCTGAACTGAATGTCATCCAAATGCCAGCCGTCCTAAAGCTGATGCTAATTTGCACATTTGCACAATATCACACGATAGTGTGCATTTGTATTAGTGTTTCTTGCTCAATGTTGTAGAATTCTACATAGAAGTATTTGAATCGCGAATCAACGAATCGTTCAATTTGAGAGTTCGATTCTTTTAAACGAGCTGTTCAAAAGGAATCGGTTTGGTAGACTGAATCAAACTTCCCGTCTCTAGCGCTGTCCGTGCAAACACGTTTCCTTGGAAACAGAACGAACGTTCCACGTGAGCTTCGGGTTTATTAACGTTTAATGCGTCGTATTTACATGAATAAAGGCATAACTGTTAAATGGATATTTATAAACATGTTTTTTTATGATTAATTATGATATAGCTAATGTATCTAATACAAAGATAAATCCTGATATTTATTGAAGCCTCTGTGACCAGTTATTTGTTGAAATAAGGGTCTTTTATTTTGAATATAGAGAAATGGCGGCCTCTATGCTGAAGGTTGCAGGTAAATAAAGAGATAAATGCTCGCAAATTTAATGTTAAACCTCAGTTTCTGTGGTAAAATTAGCCTTTTATGGTTTTTAACATTTTGGTTTTATTTCATCTTAACGTGACACAGAACGCAGATGTGTTTTGTGGTTGTCTGCTGATTTGTAGAAATGGATACGTACAGAACGGCACTTACGATCCACACTTATGTTTAAAATATTCGTTTTTATGTAAAATATTCAGTGAAACGCTGCTCAGTCAGAGATGTATTTATTGACACTACTGCTAAATAATAAAGTTTTAATTCCACATATTGCCATATGTTTCTGTAATTCATCTGTTTTTCTTTGAAGGGGAATTCCACTGAATTTTAAAAATCTCCTCATGGTTAAGATGGTTGGGGTGATAGGAACCAGATGTATGAAACGTTTAATGTCTCTGAAAGCAACCTTACAGAAACTTAAATGAAATGTTCATGAATACGTTGCCTGATGCCTAATAATTTTGAGAAGGAATTCCACCATTTTTTTACTGGACTTGTAGTGAAGCAGAAAAATACTCACAGACATACTTTGAAGGTTTAATTCACATAAGCAAGCTAAATTTAGTGACCTATTTTTTTAAATCCTTTTCAGGGTGGAGATGTACATATTAGACAAAATAGTCTTGATAAAAAGTTAATTGTTTCAGATTTGTCTCTGTTTTATTTTTTTTTTTTCTTTTAGATATTAAGAAATTTGGAAGAAATGGTGGAATTTCCTTTTTAAAAAGAGTCCCTGTAGTAAAGTCTCTGTTCCCTCAGAGAGCTACTTTTATTTTTTACTGGATGAGATTGGTTTCTATGTTCATCCACATACAGCAGCTAAGATACTGATTCATTCACGATGATGGATCATTTCATTCCTACTACAAATACTACACTGATAATTAGAAGAATAAAATAATTGATGCTTCATTTTATCATTTTTGGACTGAATTTTTTGTAGTGAAGTATAAATATCCTCACAGACATACCTTGAAGGATTAATTCACACTAGAAAGCTAAATTTAGTGACCAAACCTCTCAGAAAAGGTTGGAAAAGTTAAGCAGTACTGCTTTCTGCTTGGAACCTGGAGCCATCACGCTGATCATTTAATAGACTGCGTAATGTGCCTAGTGGACATAGGCCTACAGAATTACTTACCTACAGAATGTACAGACCTTTTTGTTTAACTCTTGTTTTGTTTTGCAGTGACACGTCTGTCGAGATGTGCCCAGCACTGCTCTCCAGCAGTTCGGATGTTCTCTTCATCCTCACCCCTTATCCAGGGTGTTCCAGCAGCACTGTGGAAGTTGGGCAGGCTGAACCATGTGGCCATCGCAGTCCCTGACCTGCAGAAGGCAACGGCTCTGTACCGTGATGTGCTCGGCGCCCACGTAAGCGCCGTCGTGCCGTTACCCGAGCACGGGGTTTACACAGTGTTTGTGGAGTTGGGCAACACAAAACTGGAGCTTTTGCATCCTCTGGGTGAGAAAAGTCCAATCGCAGGATTCCTGCAGAAGAACAAATCTGGAGGAATGCACCACATCTGCATTGAGGTGAGCAGTTTACTGATCAGTCATGTGCAAAAGTTTGAGCACCCTCACCCTCAAGTTATCACATCCTCTACAGGAACAAACTATATTAATAAATATGGCATTTTTCTGCAAATTTAGTGCAAAATGTAAACGTATGGGGAAAAAATAATATGTGCCTTTTACACAGCCTGCCTTTTATGTTTTCATTTTTTCCAACAGGTTAAATTTAGCAAATAAACAGTAATTGTGTGTTAAAATGTATTAAAATATGCGGAAATGTGTTATTATATATAGAAATTGTGTTAATATATTTTTGAAATCTTAATTGCAAGAAAACGTAATTCAACCAGGGGTGCCCAAACTTTTGCATACTTTTGTACATGTGTTAGGTAAGATGTGAATCTATCCCAGTAGAAATGGAATACATATTAATGTATGCTGTCAGTATATTTCAAAATCTGAATGGAATGTACTGTAATATAGGGGAGGCCAATTTGACAATATAAATTATGTCCTAACATGTTTTATTATGAAGAGATTATAGTTAGTGCTGGTTTTGGATTTACTGCAGTGCAGTATGTAAAAAGAGGAATAAAAATCTCTGTATTTATAATTTTGTGTAGTATTTTTTATAATATGTTAATACCGATGCATTGAATCTGCTTCTGTTATCAAACATGAGAATAATTAAATACTGTGATGCATATTATGTACTGTGTAAATGTCTTTAAGTATCATGATGGTATATTTTTGCCATATTACCCACCTCACTGTACAACTAATATAATATGGTCAGTTTTTCCAACAGTCCACTTAAGCCTCAGATGAGTTTGTAATGTTGTTTACATTGTATTGTTTGTTATACTGTTCATCACTTGATTCGACTTCTGGTTGTAGGTTGATGATATAAACGCAGCAATAGTGGATTTGAAGGCAAAGAACATCAGGCTGCTCTCACCAGAGCCACGGATAGGAGCTCATGGAAAACCTGTGATGTTTCTCCACCCTAAAGACTGCGACGGTGTTCTCGTGGAAATAGAGCAAGCATAGAGTCGACACACATACCTCTCAAAGGCAAACGCTCTGCTAGAGAGGGATATTCCTTTATAAGCTGCTTCTGAGGGAGGAGAGTGAAGATAAGGTGAAGGTTAAGGTTCTTTCATATAGTGTGTGATTTTTTGTGATTATGCACTGTTATGTTAAAATGTTAAAATTACATGATTGTAATGTTACAATAAATGAATCTGCTTTCTATGAAAACACTAACAGAAAGAAGCTTGTAAAATCTATACATTTTTCAATAAAGTGGCAATGAAGACATTTTAGATTTTGCAGAAGTGTTTGTAAAATGGTACTAACATTGGGTTTAATTGAAGATATAAGCAGACTTTTGGTCGCCCGTGGTCAAATGACATGTTTTGTTGATTTTCTATGTGAAAATAAGTTAAAACGTCTTCTACAGAGAACACAGTTCTGCACATATTAATGCAACGTTTGCTAAATTTAACATATTGGAAAAAAGAAGACATAAAATGCCTGTGCAGACACTATGGCACATTTAATATTTTATGATTTATTTTATTCAATATGTTAAACTCAGCAAATAAATTGAAACTGTGCACTAAAACTGGTAGAAAAATCCTGTGTTTAAGTGTGTTCTCTGAGCGGAAATATTTACTCATTTTCACTTCGATAATCAACAAAACTAATCTGACTAATTACTCTAACTGACGATGCTCAAACTTTTGCATACGGCTGGACCAATTAATCTGTTCTTACAGCCATTATGAATGTAGCTTAAATGCTGAATTTGTTACCTAGTAATGATGGTTTCAGTTACTGATGTACTGCAGATGTTATCATGCTTCCATGTTGTATGTTATGATGCAGATTCATATACTTTGAACATGCATATTAAAAAGGAATTCGACTCATTTGCTGTGAAATCATTAATTGTAGAGAAACCTACCTACTTAGATTTCTTTACAGTGGTGGTGATAGGAACCAGGAGTCGCCTTGACTACAAATAGAGCCATTTTATTTGCAACCCAAAACCACCAGTGAACCAATACGTGTCTATTGAGTTTTAATATGTGATGTTGGTGACGGTAAAATAGCGTAAAATCTTCTTTTGGTCATTATTTTTTTCTCAAGGCGCCCTACATGTACCTCTACATCATGAATATATTTTTCGTAAAACAGTATCTCAGGAATCAGGCAGTGTATTCATAACCATTTCATGTAATAACCTTCTGTGAGGGAGCTTTTAGAGGCATTAAACTCTTCAAACAATTCTGTTTCGTCAAGTTTCTCTACAACAAAACACTTTAGACCAAAACACTCTGAATGACTTCGTATACATCTTAACGGTTAACTTATGCAGAAGTTCCGTGAAAAATCTGTGGTTTTCTCTCTGTTTAATGACAACACGGCACCATTACAGGGGAATTCTACTGAATTTTCACATTTTTTGCACAGTTCCATTGTTGCAATGTAAACAAAGTCATCCGGAGTGGTTTGGTGTGAAATGGTTCATTGTTGAGACTCAGATTTCTTTACAGTGGTGGTGATAGGAACCAGGGGTCACCATGTCTACAAGCCATATATAATATAGCCATTTTATTTACTATCCAAAACCACCATTTTCTCTAGAATGGAGCATTTCACACCGAACCACTCTGAATGACTTTCTGTACACCTTAATTACTGAATTATGCATTATTAAAGAATTCAGTGGAATTTCCCCTTTAAGTGAAGTGGATTAATGAGCTATTATAACCATTCCAGTGATTAGGTTGGATGAAATGTACTGTTTCACACAGTTTCTTATAGCAGACGAATGTATAGACATATTTTCTTTCACAGTTTGAATAACACAAAAACATTTTCAGTCATTCAGTACAAGTTCATTCACAGCATTCGCTTCTATCACTATTGAGTGAAAATGCTTCATAGGCAGAAGAGTTTCTGATGAAAGGTGAAAGCCTTCCTCTCCTGCTGCTGACAGACTTCAGCTCCTCTCGACACCAAATGAGCGTATTAATGGGAAAGAACTTGGACCATCTCCATCTGTCCACTGTCTACCCGTCTGCGTCTCGCGCCTTAAATCCTCTTCCTTTTGGACACAGCTGGAGGAGGGAGATTAGAGCCGATGTTTGGGGGCTGCCAGTTTTCTCTCTGTGTGGTCTCTGAGGTCCCGTCTGAAGTTTGCACCGTTACTGGAATAAAAAGGGTCTGTTTTGCAGCTTTAAGCCGTCTTTGACATTTCGGTTCTTTTGGCAGTCTGAAAAGTAAGAAATTCTCTGAAATTCTGGCTCAGCCTCCTTTCAGTAATTCTCCTTTCAGTAATTCTCTAAAACTGTCCGCCAGTCTGACCACTGATACACCACATTTCACTCAGCAAGCTTCGCATTGCAAGTTACCTCATGAGTGCACCTGAGACATAGTGTTCAATGTTTGAAGCCAGTTTGTTCAGTTCATTTTTGTAGTAGAGCAATATATTCAATTTTCCAAATTTCCAAAATTTCCACGTAGTTACATTTTTAAGAAGTAAACAGTCATTCAGAGTGGTTTGGTGTGAAATGCTCCACTCCAGAGAAACTTGCTGAGTCAGATTTGTGGTAATGGGAACCAGACGTCTGAAGAGTTCAACATTCTTAGTTTTGAAATAAGGTTTTCAGCTAAAAAGTATTTTTTAAGCATATTCATGGCGGAGGGGTACATGCAGGGTCTTGTAGGGAAGAATAGTACCAAAGAAAAACTTGCTTCTCAGATTTACCGCTACACTATATGCACAAAGTATTGGGACACCTACACATCACACCTACAGGAGCTTTTATTACTCCCATTCTAAATCCATAGGCCTTAATATGGAGTTTGTCCCCAATACCATTTGCCATACAAAGTGGGCTGTAAGATGCTTTACAGACTGGCTGGAACAAAACAACATTAATATTGATCCAGCAAAAAGAGACAAAACTGTGCTAAACTTGATATTGTGGCAGTTTTATGGCTCAGTCCGATTTGGTCAGACTCTGAAGATCAGACTACACGTTTGGCGAATGGTATTCGGTTCATTTCTGGCTGATTCCAGGTTGTTTAGCTGTTCTTCTGTCACAGCTGCCGACTGAAAAGCTGCTCAGTGGTGATGACAGTTTGGGAATTTAAGTGTTCAAAGGGCTTGAGCGTCTCCTACAGCTGTCAAAGTTGTTGCTTAGCAACAGCGTCTCAGCAGAGTGATATGGTGTTTGTGATGTTATGGAGAAATAACAGCACAGTTAGAACGATTCTCAACCAATCAGTGTCCCAACTTTATGGAAATGGCGTTGTATTAAAAGATTACATAAGAGGACGCATGTAGGTTCACTGCTGGTTTTAGATAGTAAATAAAATGGCTATGTGTTGTAGACCTCCCAGTGACAATGACTGGCATATATACAATATAATGAGTTGAAACAATTAATAATTTAGTAACTGATAAAATTGTGGGGAGGCTAGTAGAGAATTCTGTCTTATAATTACAAATGTACACATTATATAGACTCTTATCCCTTATATTTTCTATATTAATAAAGATCAGTGGTTAAGCTCGGGTTCTACTGCCCTGCAGAATGTTAGTCCTAACTCTACTTTAGCGCACCTGATCCAGGTTGCTGATGTCTTCAGATGTTTATTGGCTAGATTTGGTACATTATAGCACTGATCATGGCATCAGGTGAGAAGGGATGGGGAAGCGTCCAGCATGGCAAAGATATTCTGGGATAATAATTTATTGTACTGGGACTAAAACTCTGTGGGACATGTTCCTTTTTTCATAGATCCTCATTAATCTCTACCATTAAAGAGTTTGGAATCACTGTATTCAATAATATAAAACCAATTTTGTAGCAGATGCATGTATAAAGTGTAATATTACTGTAACAAATGAAGAAATGCTAGATGCGTCTATGAAGAACAGAGCTGTACATGACTCTAAAATGATAGATAGAGCTGTAGAGCATTCAGAATAATTCATAAAAATATAAAAATAAAGTGGTAAGTGAGTGGAATTCCACCATTTTTTCAAAATTTCTGCATAAATTGCTTTACATCACCCTGCATGCACCTCTCCACCATTAATGTTTTAGGCCAAAACCTTTTCAATCTCAAAACCATGGGAAAAACAAGTCTCGGCCATCAGGCGGCATATTCATAACCAATTCATTCTGTAACTTTTTGTGTGGGACATCTTTAGATGTCTGGTTCCTTTCACCACCACTGTGAACAATTCAGACACGGCAAGTTCCTCTAGAATGGAACATTTCACACCGAACCACCCTGAATGACTTAGTTTGCATTTAATTATTTAATAAAGCAGAAATTTTGAAAACTCGGTGGAATTCCCCTTTAAATCTCGAGCCAGAAAATTTGACAAGAAATTATTTGAAATGATTAATTAAAGCATATTATTTATCATTGATAAAATGAACTTGTGGAATATTGATTCAATGTTTAATATTGAAATATTGAACAAAAAGAGCATATTAAAATACTTACTATGAGTTAGTATTTGATAAAATAACAACAATTATTAAAACATCAATCTTACAATCTTTTGAATGGTACATTACTCAACTTCTCAGCCTGAAGAAATGTTTCCTCATCAGAAATCTCAAAGAGTTGTAAATAAAGTAATAAAAAGCTCCAAGAAATAGGATTCTCCATTAGTCTCCATTAGAATCTTATAAAGAAAACATATTATTTAATGATCATAGAATAGGAAGAGATATGCTCTTCCTACTCAATCATAGGAAGAGATATGCTCTTCCTGTTCTATGATCATTAAATACTATCTGTTTAACAAGGATACAGGATAACAGAATGTTTACAGGATAACAAGAACTAAAGTCATGCAGGCCCGAGCTGGAGCTTAAGCTTTCATATTACTTACAGAAATCATGAAATCAAAACCGGATTAATCTTTAAGCAAGAGTAGTTGGACGGTAATGAGGCTGCTTCCTCCCAAAGGCAGACGGCTTAATTGCACAGTCTTTCAAGCGGCCTGTCCACTATTATCTGCAGCGTTTCAGGCTGTTTTGATTGCTTTGGTGCTGCTGGATAGGATTTTCCTCATTTCAACCGGTATAAAGTGGCGTGAATGAAGGATTGTAGCTATGTAATGCACGACTATGCTTACAGCACTTCCTAATCTTATTAGTCACACTGTTTCTGTAAATACTGCATTGCTGATGTGTTGATTGCTTCCTGTCTCTGCTGATGTCTATCAGTAATAACTCCTTTTGCGCTGCAGCTGGCAAATTGCACCTCAGCGTCCTTTTCCTTTGGTCGTCATCTAGTGAGACTAAATTAATTTTAAACAGGGAAAAAGTTTCTTGGCTTTTATTAAGCCTGTGCACAATACATATACACCAGCACTAATGAGCTCTTACGCTGTGTACGCACTCATGGTCAAATGACTGGGCCTTTTTTGTTGAAGTCACTCATAAATACTAGGCCTTCTGATTTGCTATAACACCTTTAGAGGGCAGCAGTGAGTAATGTTCCTTTATTGGATGTGTGAGGCCTTCTGTCTAGCTCCTAAGGGTCTAACCCAGGGGTCGGCAACATGCAGCTCTTTTACTGCCCTGTTGCAGCTCCAGGGCAGAATTAGATTTTTAGGTAAAAAATAAAATAATTCTCTTCTGTAGTAAAAATAAAGCTCTGCTGATCATTCTTACACAGTTTTAACAGTAAATGGGCTCAAACGCTGGAGTTGATATAGCTTACAACTGCTAATTCACACTTTAACCCTGAGGATTGGTGTGCAGACAACAATCTTGCTTAGTTAGTAGCTAACGAAAAGGCAAAGAGAGAGATTTAAGATGAACATCAGTGATTTGGAGGCAAACAAACTTATTTGCATTTATAAGCATTCAGCTGGTTTCCTGATACGTTTAATCTGCAACAAGAAACTGTCACACACTAAAAAGTCGAGGAGCTCAAGTCAGTTGCTCCCGTTCCACCTTAAATTGTGCTGCAGTTACATTCTGGCGCCTCAGGCACCGTTTACCGTTTAAAATTCAAACAAAAAGCTGGACAATGAGAAGCGACTTCAGCCTCGTAAAAAGTCAAACGATGAGAGACATTTTACAAGAAACTGTTCCACTTTTGCGAAAGTTTCCTGCCAGAGATGCGAGAAAAGCGACTGTAGATGAGCTAAAGCTTAAAGCAGAGCAAAGTAAGTCTGCGTTTTCATTTATATTTTCAGCCTATACAAGGGAATCAGCACATACTGAGACATATTAACAGCCAATATGGTAAAATGGACATAAAATGTTGTGGCTCCCAAGGTGGTTTGATTTTTGTTGAAAGGGCAAAATGGCTCTTTTTAACATGGGTTGCTGACCTCTGGGCTAACCAATGAGAGAGCTTGATTGGCTTTTTGTTCCTAAATATCACAGAAAAAATATCCTCACTGGATATTTTTTTCTGAATTTTTGAACCATTTTATTTCTAACCAAACAGGTCAGTGAAATCCGAATATTACTACATGACTTGCAAAGTTTAAAAGCAACATTTGTGATGATTCTATTACATAAAAATAAGCACAAAAATACAGTCAGGTGTCTTTTAGTACTCACAAATGATTAGGACTTTCTAGAAGGTGCCGAGAGTGAGCAGAACTGTAAAGCAAAGTAAAAAGTAACAGAATATTTCATTCACATTGTGCTTCGTCAATATAAAATGTACAAATTCTGCAAAAACAACTACTTATCATCGCTGAAAAATGCTCTTATTTGGAACAAATTGCAGACGAAATAGGTTGTAAATTGGCACTCAGTATCCAAAGAAGCACATGAAGGGATTTACAGCTGTAATACATGGACATACATTTTCGTTAGATAATGTGGGTCTCAAATCTAATGGGACGGATTTGTATTTATCCTGTGTCATGTAGTCTAATGTTTTCAGTAGGATGCTGCCAATGGGAGGAAAAGATTATGTGCTTGATGACAAGATGGAGTAAATCTCTTGTTCTGTTATGTAATGCCATTTAGTGCCTGTGATCATTCACTGAGGCACAGTGATGGATGCATTAGGGGAAATTAGGAGTGTATAACCACAGTCCTCTGTACAGGAGGTAATTATTCAGCTTTGTTTTTCTGCTTTTGCCCATGAATACGACTATCAGCCCTTACCTGGCCTGCGTCAGGCATTAAGGATAGAGAGTAATGGGCTACTAATTTGAACTTTTAGACGAGGGCTAATCACGAGCCCATCGCTGTAGGCTTTTGACAGGCAGTAGAAATGATAATTGAATGCAGGATTTCTGGAGGAAGCCAACCACACTTGTGTTTTGAGCCTCATTAATTTACTGATTAATAATAGATGTGAACAGAATAGAAACTGCAGGCTGTGTGTGTCACATACCGCCCCGGCACACTCCCCCATCTCTCTCTCCCTCTCTCTCCCTCTCTCTCTCTCACTGTCTGGATAACGAGAAGAAACAAATTACCCATGTTAAAAACAATAGTGTCTTTCAGGCTTCAAGCTGAATCTTCCTTTTTTAAAATTCTGATTTTTGTGAGATGGTGAAGGAGAAGAGTAGAGTTAGAAGATGACATTCATTTAAAAATAGCATATCTTGGCACAATCACTCCTCTCTTTCACTTTAAAACTTTATTTTACACTAAAGTTTTGATATTTTCTAGTTCCCACCTTTGCTTTAAAGGCTAAAGGGGAATTCAGCTGATTTTTCAAAATTTCTGCATAATTAAACAAGTAAAGTCATTTTGAGTGGTTTGACGTGAAATGCATTGTACCAGAAAAAACTTACCGAAATTGTTTACAGTGGTGGTGATAGGAACCAGACGTCCAAAGCATTTAATGCCTCAAAAGGCTCCCTCACAGAAAGTGATCACAACATATTGGTATGAATACCCTGTCTGAGGACATTGTTTTACAATAGTTCTGTGATCTGGCTTTAAGAAGTCTATTCACGGCGGAGAGGTACGTGCAGGCAGGGCGTTGTGAGGCAAAATAGTCCAGAAGAAAACATGCTTTTTCAGGTCTACCACTATTTTACCATCATCAACATTACATATTAAACTCAGTAGATTCACTGGTGGTTTTGGGTAGTAAATAAAATGGCTATATTTGTGTTGCAGACATTGTGACCCCTCATCACTAATGTAAAGATATCAGTTAAGTTGGTCGTTTTCTCCACAGTAAACCATCTGGACACTCCACACCTAGACACTTTATTTCAGTGCCAATATCTGCACATATTTATTCAGTATTGTCATTATATTCTGTTACCTGCGGCTCCTTGTACAGTCATTATTGCACTGCCTTTTTCATCTCAGGTTATAGATCTTATTCCAGATTTTTGTATATTTCTATTTGTGTATATGCCTGTAGATGGGATTTTTTATATTTATTCTTCCTTATTCTTTATTATTATTATCTATCGGTCTCTCTGTCTGTCTATCTATCCATCTATCCATCTATCTATCTATCTATCTATCTATCTATTTCACTCCAAACCACTCTGAATGCCTTTGTTTACATCACAGCAATTGAATTTGAAAAATTGGTGGAATTTTTCTTTAAACACTGTGAAAAATTAAAACAATATCTAATTCATCTGTTTTTAATGTGAATTTAAGAATGTGCTGTCATTTCAATTCAACATTTTTTTGGGCTTTAAAGCCACAAGTTATTGTTGATGCTTATTCCTTATTCATGTTCTGGGGCCTCGCTCCCGTTACATGTCTTTTCGTCCACCCGTTTTCCAACAAGCCACGCCCTTCTCTGCTAGGATTGGCTAGCAGTTCGGCCGTTTACAGAGCGCTCTGCCGTTCAGAGTGCTTAAGCCCCGCCCACTTCACGAAGCCGCAGACTGCTTTTTGAGCAGGAACGAGCCAGTCGCCGGGCAAGAGGGCGGAGCCTGGGCGTTCTAGAACGCGGACTATATTATGAGTTCGAACTACTAGCCAATCACAGCGAGAAGGGGCGGAGATTTCCGCAATACGGGTGGAGAAAAACACACCTCTTCGCAGAGCGCAGCGTAGGGAGCAGCAGCAGCAGGAGCGGCAGCGGCGTCTCCTCCTCAGCAGCGCGGAGGGCTTTATCTCGAGATTTACATCAGCAGCAGCGTTCATACAGGTACTGCCCGCTTCATCTCTGTCTAGATTAAATCTGTGTCTTGGTTTTTAACGTCAGAATTGCAGCGTACAGGCAAAATAGCCAAGGTTTTTCATCCACCAGTGCAGCCACGGTTAGTCGTATAGCCAACACTGGGGCTTTATTTATTTATTTAGCTACAGCGCGTGAATTAGCCATCCACCCAAAACCCAAAAATTCGTCCACCCAAAACCGAAACCCACAAATTCTCTACGTGTCGTTCAGTCCATGGTTTTTAGCCGGATATTCTTCGATTTGCCTTCATTTAAACACCTTGAAATCATTTTAAGGGGTGTAAACACTTCAGTTTGCTCCAATTATCTGAGCAGTTGTGACTTTGTATTACAAACCCATATAGAGATGCTCCATTTTCCTGTTAGGTTGAGGTCAGTCTCATTTGCCCGTGTTAAGGCACGGAACATAAGAGAACATAGAGAATAATTAATAAAAAATAGGCAGTGATTTAAGGAGCTCATGCCCAGAATAAGTCAGAGTGGACTGTTTATGTTGGGGTTGGACTCGACTCTGGTTAATGTGCTGCTCCTCTCCCGTCAGTGGACAGACCGATGTTAGAGGAGCACAACTTCACTTGTAACAGCAGCATTTCAGCCACACATGGTTCTCTGTCACTGCTGAGACACGTTGATGCAGTTTTTTCTGTCTTTGTGAGCTGTGTTGACTTTGAGATGCTGAGTGGACTGACCGCACCTTCCACCCGTCCCCCTGTCCCCCTGTGAGGAACAGCAGTGACTGCTCTGCGCTTCTCTGTGGGGTTTGTGCACTTTTGGCTTTTTGGTCAAAGACACTGACGAATCTATAGATTTGGCATCTGTCATGTAGGTTTTAGAAAAAGAGAAGAAAATATTCCTCTGAAGAAGAAATATTCTGGAGAAAAGGAAAGGGATATAGAAGGAGTGAGGAAAGTGGAGGGTGAGAGAGATAGAGAGGAACGACAGCTAGTGAGAGGCAAAGAAAGAAAGAGAAACAGGAGAGATGGAAGCAGAGAGAGAAAGAGGAAAGATGGTTGGTGAGAAACAGAGCGAGAGAAAAGACGGGCGAGAGAGAAAGGAAAGATGGCCAGAGGGAAAGAGAGCGCGAGAGATAAAGAGAGCTATGATGGGCATAAGAGAGAGGGAGGGAAGAACTTGTAGGAGAGAGAGAGAGAGAGAGAGAGAGAGAGAGAGATAGGAAAGGAGGGAAGGAAAAAAGAGATGGGGATAGAGGGTAAGGAAGATAGAGAAGAGAGAGATAAAGAGAAAAAATAACCAGTGAGCGAGAGACAGAGAGAGAGAGAAGAAAGATGCATAGAGAGAGAAAGAGAGAGGGGAAAGATGGACATGAGAGAAATAGATTGAGTGATTGGAAAGATAGAGAGAGAGTGAGAGAGAGAGAGGAGGGGGAAAGATGGGCATGAGAGAAAGTGATAGAGGGTTAGGAAAGGTGGCCAGAAAGAAAGATGCATAGAGAGACAGAGAGAGACAGAGAGAGAGGAAAGATGGCTAGAGAGAGAGAAGGAGAGAGAGGAAAGATGGCTAGAGAGAGGGAGAGAGAGAGGAAATATGGTTAGAGAGAGAGAGAGGGAGAGAGAGAGGAAATATGGTTAGAGAGAGAGAGAGAAAAAGGAAAGATGTCTAGAGTGAGAGAAAGAGAGAGATAGGAAATATGGTTAGAGAGAGAGAGAGAGAGAGAGAGGAAATACGGTTAGAGAGAGAGAGAGGAAATATGGTTAGAGAGAGGGAGAGAGAGGAAAGATGTCTAGAGTGAGAGAGAGACAGGGAGAGAGAGAGAGAGAGAAAGAGGGGGAAAGATGTCTAGAGAGAGAGAGGAAATATGGTTAGAGAGAGAGAGAGAGAGGAAAGATGTCTAGAGTGAGAGAGAGAGAGAAAGAGAGGAAATATGGTTAGAGAGAGAGAGAGGGAGAGAGAGAGGAAAGATGTCTAGAGTGAGAGAGAGAGAGAGAGAGAGAGAGAGGAAATATGGTTAGAAAGAGTGAAGGAGAGAGAGAGGAAAGATGTCTAGAGTGAGAGAGAGAGAGAGAGAGAGAGAGAGGAAATATGGTTAGAAAGAGAGAAGGAGAGAGAGAGGAAAGATGTCTAGAGTGAGAGAGAGAGAGGAAATATGGTTAGAGAGAGAGAAGGAGAGAGAGCGAGAGAGGAAAGATGTCTAGAGTGAGAGAGAGAGAGGAAATATGGTTAGAGAGAGAGAAGGAGAGAGAGAGGAAAGATGTCTAGAGAGAGCGAGAGAGGAAATATGGTTAGAGAGAGGGAGAGAGAGAGAGGAAAGATGTCTAGAGTGAGAGAGAGAGAGGAAATATGGTTAGAGAGAGAGAGGGAGAGACAGGAAAGATGTCTAGAGTGAGAGAGAGAGAGAGAGAGAGAGAGGAAGGTGGCTGTTGTGAGCTGTAAAGCTACGTGCTGCTGGAACATTATCCCTCAGGGTGGATCCGTCTCCACAACAGCGACCTGCTGTTAACTTAGCCGAACTAACCCCCCCAAACCCCTAAATCCCTAAACCCCACCCACCTCCACCCCTCCACCCTCCTCCCCTCCGAGCCCTCGATACAGCGTTCTGTACGACTCTTGTGCTGAAGGACAAACACAGCGTCACATGAGCGTGCTGGAGTGTTATTCATGCACCAGTGGGAGAATTTTAAATTGGACTCTTGTTGGGGAGAGAGAGAGATAGAGAGAAAGAAATAGGGAGAGATAGAATGAGAGAGAAAGAGGGAGAGATAGAGTGAGAGAGAAAGTAGGAAAGCACAGAGATAAAGAGGAAGAGTGGGAGAAGGAAATGAAAAAGGGAGACAGGGAGAGAGAAAAGTAAAGAGAGAGAGGGGAGAGAGAGAAAAAGAAAGGTAGACATGGAAAGGAAGAGAGAGGAATGACGATGAGAGGGATAGAGAATAGGGAAGAGAGACCTAATGAGAGAGAAGAGCCAAAGAGAGGAAGTGAGTAGAAGAAAGAGAGACAGAGCAAGTGAGAGGGAATTAAAGAAGGGGCGAGAATAGGAAAGAGGAAGAGAAAGAAGGAAAGAAACAGAAAGAAAGAGAGAGATAGTGAGAGAGAGAGAGAGAGAGAGAGAGAGAGAGAGAGAGAGTGAGAGAGAGAGAGAGAGTGAGTGAGAGAGAGAGAGAGAGAAAGAGAGAGAGAGAGAGTGAGAGAGTATGTCAGCTGAGGTTACCTGCTGCAGGCATGGCTGAAATGGTGTTTTGGTTGTTTGTGCTGTAGATTAAAAAAGACAGAACGCTGTGATGCACTTCCAGAAGCTTTTTGTCAGATTTCACAGATGGAGCAGAGCTGGAAAGTCTCCAGTCTCCAAAAGTATCCAGACAAGAGCGCTAATTAGTGAATTCAGCTGTATTACAGTGTACGACTGCATTCAGTGAGGCACACAGCTTGTATAATCTACATATATAAGCAATAACCCTTGGAATTGGACACTTTGGAGCAGCTGCACATGAGCCTAAGGTCACCATGCCCAATGCCAAGTTTCGGCTAGAGGGGTATAAAGCCCCCCAGCATTGGGTTGTGGAGCAGTGGAACTGTGTTCTCTGGAGTGATGGAGCTCCATCCAGTACTTTTGGGATGAGTCGCAGTGATCTAGAACTGACCATCCAACATCAGTACCTGACCTCACTAATGCACTTCCTCATATCAATCAAATCCGCATAGCAATGTTCCAAAACTCTAGTGTAAAGCCTTCCCAGAAGAGTAGAGGCTGTTACTGCAGCAAAGAGGGACAAACTCACTATTAACACCCTTCATTTCAGAAGAAGCAGTTGGTGAGCAGGTGTAATATTTGGATGTGAGATGTATCTCCTTATGTAAACACTGGGCTGAAATGCACAGTGTAAAGCTGTGGAGATGTGTGGACAGTCTTTTAGCTAATGCATGCATCTGTTTTTTGCCCCCTGCATTGGAGCAGAACTGTTGTACCCCAGCTGCTTGTGTTGATGTGTGCCGTGTCACGTTGTCTACATTTCAAAGATCAGAAGATTTTCTGGAGAAACGTGCCGAATCCAAATTGTTCTCAGTGGTGGTGGTAAAAGGTACCAGACATCTGAAATGCCTCTGAAAGCTCCCTCAGAGAAAGTTATTACATGAAATGGTTATAAACACGCTGCTCGATGCATGGAACATTCTTTTATGAAAGTCTGGAGAAGGTTTAGGCCTAAAATTCATTTTATAAAATCTATTCATTGTGGAAAGATGTAGGGCATTCTGAGGTATAATATTTTTTATATTTACCATTGTTTTACCATCGTCAGCACATCAAATCTCAGATGTGTAGGCTCACTGGTAATATTCAGTAGTAAAAAATGGCTATTTTTGTGCTTTAGACTGTGCAACCTTATCAGCACTACTATAAAGAAATCCAAGTTTCTCTACAATGAACAGTTTCACTTCAAAACACTCACTGAATGATTTAATTCACAATTCAGTTGTTGAATTGTGCAGAAATGTAGAAAAAATGGTGGAATTCTTGTTTAAAGTGAAGAGTAAATAAAACATTATCGTTTATCCATTGACTTAGAATGCACTTATAATAGAAGCCAATGGGAAAGTGTTTCTATTTATGTATTTTTATGTATTTTAATATGTATATATATTTTTTGTGTGTTTTATGTTCACGTGTGTGAATGCAGATGACAGTGCCCTGCTTATGCATCGCAAACGCACAGTATTTCTGCACAAATTTAGCGCGTTTTTACGTTACAGTGTCAGTTAAAACACTCAGTACTAAAGAAGCACGCCAAGACAAGTTTATTGATGTAGCACATTTCATGCACAAAGGCAATTCACTGTGCTTTACATAAATCAAAGCATCAAAAAAACATCAAAAGGCAAAATAAAGACAAAGTGCTTAAGAGTCAAAACAATAACTGTGTTTCCGGCCTTATTGTCTGTGATAATTGACTGCATGCTACAGATGCAGCAGGCAGATATTGGATTGAAAAACCCTGGAGTATTCCTTTAATATTA